CCTACCTTGACCTGAGCAGCTAGGCTGTCGATTCCAGTGATTCTCTCCACATCTGGAGATCTTCGGTTTAGATGAAAGGCAGTGTTGCCCGATGGTCAGCGCTTGCAGTTGAAGTGAATTGAGGATGGACCTTGCTCTGTGCCCATTTGTCTTCTTTGGAGGAAGTAGAGTGCTGCTAGGAGCCAAATGGTCTCTTTTTGTTATGAAAAGTCTTTTAATAATTAAATATTTAAATGCCATATTCCCCAGGTCTCTGAGCAGTCGAGGGCTGTTTATCAGGTATACAGTATAGAATCTGCCTAGAGAGCTGGGTCTTAGCTTGACTGTACTGGCTCCTAACAGGTAAGATTTACACTCGTAAAAAGACAGAAAGAAGAAAATACTGCTTGCAATAGAAGGTTAATGGCAGAACTGACAATAGTAAAGAATATCTTAATATATTTTAAATGAGGGTTGGATTAAATATAAAGCATTTTTATAAGAGACTTAAAAATAAATACCAGTTTAAAACATGAGACTTATTGTTTTTATAGTCTGAAATGAGATGCAATGAACAATTACAACATTTAACAGTAAACATAGGTGCATTTAAGTTACATGTGTGCACACACACACACACAGAGTGAACAGGAATTGGGCAAAGTGGATGCTCTTGGTGGCCCTACCAAAGGCATGCCACTGTGCAAAAACACACACGCAACAGAGTCAGCAAGAGGAATTTAGAGACAAAAAGTGTAAGTAAATCAGGGAACCAGGCAGGGTATACTTCAGTAAAGATGGCCGGACTTGATCACTCGACCTGGCTCTCAGTTAAGATGGTGGTAAAGTCACCTGAACTCAGTTAAGATGGCAGTAAGATCAGCCATGTAACAGAGTTGACACTGGGGAACTAGGCAGGGAATACCTAACTAAAAGATGATGGAACATGGTCATTTCAGCCAAGATCGTGGTGAAGTCACATGACCTCAGTCGAAATGACAGAAGTCACATGTTGTATGGAAAAGCCACCATTTTTGAGCTGCAGGGGTTTTAAGCTCAATAATAAGAGAGGCCTAGAGGTGTGATTTTCCCTGTCGCTGATCCACAATGCCACAAGCCACAGTGGGGAGCAAAAAGCTGGAATTGAAAACAGCCGCCTCATGGATCTGATCAATCTTATTGACAGCAGTAGCGGTGGCAGAGACAGTTTGAGGAAACTTTTCCACTGCTCCCGTAAAAGCGGAGCTGGCAGGACAGTGGCGGAGTGAGGGTACTGTTGGCCCTAGATCACTGAGGAGTCACCCAAGAGACCATCTCTCACACCACAGCTGATGCAAAAGCACGAGGATTTTATTAATTCTCTCATGACAGGGTCTTTCAGCATTTAAGAGGCCAGAAAGACCCTGAATGTCTGGTACAGGCTATTTTTAAAGGGAAAACCACAGAAGCAAGGGTGTCTGGGGGTTGTTCTTTAACTATTATGATTGGCTTATTCAAAAGGGCTGTTACCAATAATCGGCTGGAGAGTGGTAGATCAGATCAGATGAGGTATGGGGGAAACATCTGAGGGTCACTTTGCCCCTTTCCCAGGGACTGAGTCAAAACATCAGTAACAGAGTTAACACTTAAGGGTTATCTTGTCCCTATTCAGGGAGATGGAAAGTTCCCAACATCTCATTATGTACATGTGTAGCTGTTAGGTCCTTGGTTCCCGGGGGAGGGGAGCACTACTGCCTCAGAGTTGTCAGAAACGGCTTTAGAGTTATTTTAGTGTTCTACAGTATGAGCTGAAGAAGTAGGGCAATAAGACCTGGGGTTTGGGGGCCTCTAAAAGGCTTCCATCCCAGGGGGGACAGACATGGATGGCTTGCTACCCACAGCTGAAATCATGAAAATCCGTAAAAACAGCGACATCAGAAGTCCTATAACAGGATGTCTCCCCCTATAGGCAGGGTGTAAATTGGTGCGAACACCACAGGACCCATGGGAGAGTGTTCTCTGCCCCCAGGTGAGGTGCTACAGCCTGACTGGATTCAGTCAGGGTGACTTGGAAGCCAGAGAGGCCAGAGGTCTCTCAGAGTGACCTTTAACAGTGGGGGGGGGGAGAAAAGAAAAATAAAAAAGGAAGAAAAACATTCACAGCACCAGTGTAATAGTAAAAATAAAATTCTGCAGATCCCCAAGTGGCTGCAGCGGCAGAAACACTGCAGGTCTGAGTGGCGGCAGGCAGTGGGTCCCAGGCAGAAATAGTGCACAAGACCACGCCGCAGGTCTCGAGATCACGCCGCAGGTCTCTGAAGGCAGCTGGTCCCAGGTGGTGAGCCACGTAGAAGTGGAGGGTGAGAGACAGAGACATGGATAGGCACGCCATGCAGAGTGAGGTTGGATATTTATTTACTGGGTTATGGAGGGGGAAGGGAGAAGGGGAGAAGAGCAGAGAGAGAGAGAGAGAGAGAGAGAGAGAGAGAGAGAGAGAAGAGACAGAAGTTGCCTCTCCGAGAGGGAATCAGAAAAGGAGACTCAGGTTGCAAACAGGAAGAAAGATCTGCATGCCCCTGAAGAGGGGGAGGGGAGTGGGCGTGGCTTCTCTTAAAGAGACAGATCATTACATTAACTGCAGCACCATGGTCGTACCTGTTCCTCACACTCAATACCAAAGGCAAGGTTACAGCCAATTGCTCTACGCTGTAGGAGACACCTTTGTCTTTTCCGTAATGCTTGCCTGGGAATTTACCAAGCCCCATGGTTTAACAGCTTGATGTACATATATGCAGTATGAATTCAACTTTGTTTTGTTTTGCTTTTGAGACAGGGTTTCTTTATGTAACAGCCCAGGCTGTCCTGGAACTCACTCTGTAGACCAGGCTGGCCTTGAACTCAGAGATCAGCTTGTTTCTGCCTCCAGAGCACTGGGATTAAAGGTATGTTTTGTTAAGGTGGGGTTACAAAGTTGAATTCATACTGCATACATGTCTCTGAATTCATACTGCATACATGGAGGTTCTGGAACTTGCTATGTAGACCAGGTTGGACTCGAACTCACAGTACCTCTGCTTCCTGAGTGCAGAATGATGTGATTCTGTTTCTTTAGTAGTCAAAGGAGCATACTTCTTAGTAGGGACCACATTCTGAGACATTAGGCTTAAATTCATACCAGACTTTTTTTTTTTTTCTTTTTTTTCAAGACAGAGTTTCTCTGAAGCTTTGGAGCCTGTCCTGGAACTTGCTCTGTAGACCAGATTGGCCTCGAACTCACAGAGCTCTGCCTGCCTCTGCTTCCCAAGTTCTGGGATTAAAGGCGTGCGCCACCATCTCCCAGCCCATATCAGACGTTTCTGAGACATCTATTTCTCACTAATATTTTTGATGAGAAAAAAGCCACCCAGATATGGGACCTCATGAGTTTGGTTTGGTTCAACACCACAGTGCCCACCTGCAGTCCAGACAGGCCTACTGTTTAAAACTAAGGGGAGTGGGAATCAAATGATGGTTAGATTTTTTTCTTTCTAGAAGTCCTCAAGGAGGGACCTCACATTGCGATTTTAGTCACTCCACTAGTTAAGGAAGATCCTGAAAGCAGATCCTGGGGTCATTCGCAAGACCAGCCTTGGAGGCAAACTTTCCCTTCCCCCAGGGTCTAAATGAGGCTATCTAACTGGTCACTTAGACTGTCCTCCCACGATTTAGAGACAGCCCACTTTTATCTGACCTGGCTTTGGCCCAGGACCTAATGGAAGAAAAGGCCCACCTAGGCCATCTTACATGCTGAGGGATGACACGGTGGAAAGGGTCAGCCTGAGCTCTGAATGACCGGATGGGTCACCTCAAGCTGCAGCTCAGGATATGGGGCCACAGTACGCTGAAGTGACCCCAGGGGGCCGCCTCATAAGAGTTCCTCCTTTCTTGAACAGATACTTCCTAGACTCCGCCCCTTCTCAGCACGAAGCAGCTAGGTGTGGCCATTACTCCCCTTCGCCCACATAACATACACAGCAGTTGATGCTGAGAGTTGGAGGGAACACAGGCAGATGACAAGGACAAGGACATGAAGGTGAGGTGCAATCCCCAAGAGGACAGCTTGTTCCTGGAAGGCACTGTGAGAACAGGGCACCGGGTAAGATCTAAACAAGGGACCAGCAGGGGAACGAGGACTCAGGAGACCTATACAACACCCAGGCCAGAATCCAGTTAGCACATTTCCCAGCTTCTAGGGCCTGTCCTAGTAAGGGGGCCCAGGGTTGATGGAGCCAAGCAACTTGGAGAGGAAAGGGTTTATGTGGGGTATGCTTCCATATCACTGAGAGAAGCCAGCTGGACAGGAATGAATGCAGGGCGGGAACCTGGAGACAGCTGATGCAGGGGCCATGGAGGGGTGCTGCTTACTATCTTGCTCCATCTGGCTTCTTGAGCTTGTTCTCCCTCCCCCTCTCGTGTAGACCAGGCTGGCCTTGAACTCAGATCTTCCTGCCTCCCAATTGCTGGGTTAAAGGCATGTGGCACCACAGCCACTGTTTTCTACCAGAACCCACGACTGGCCCCTCCTGTTCTGAACTGATGGGGTCATCTGTTCTTGCTGTTTCATCTGTACCGGGGAATGAGCTCGCTGAGCTCTGAGACACTCACTTCACCCCTAACCCTGTGTGTTACTGGCTCTTAGTGTCCTCATCCACCAAGTTACTGGAGGTCTCTCTGCCCTCAGGAATGCTGACTCACGGGGGCAAGCCTCCTTTCCTGGGGCTCACGACACTGTCCTTCTCGTACCTTGTCCCCCTTGCCTTCTGCTGTTGCTCAGGCTGAAAGCCCAACTCTATCCGCAGAGGCCCCTTAGGGGATGTACAAGCCTGGCAAAGCGCCTGGGTGGACCGCCCCTTCCCTACCCACATCTGACTTGCTTGCCATGGCAAGTGACTTGCTGTCTCATGCTATGGACAGAGGTGCTGTGTGTATGTCCCTGGAGAGAGTTACCTGTGGGGCACAGTGGGCGACATCGCATTCAGACAAACCACTGAGAACTGTAAAACTGCCGTATTCTGCTTTATTGACAGGTAAGTTGTTCAAAAATGTTCTCACAATTCAATAATTACAAAGACTCAGACTTACATTAAAAAGTAAAAACCAGAGCTCCCAGCAGGTGCGTGCCCCAGTGTAAAGCTGGGGAGGGTGGATGGGGCAGGCAGGTGCTGGGTGTGACACGCAGGCAGGGCCAGCAGTGCCACAACCCTCAGTGCCGACTCGGCCAAGTGCACATCCTGAATAGTGTCACCAAGCATACCAACAGGCAAGGGAAGCCTGTCCAACAAGAGGACAAGACATGCCTGCTGCCACAGTCAACACAGCCTTCGTGGGCTGGGCCGCAGACCTGACCACTCAACACAGGTCACAGGGAGGATGAGGTTAAATACAGGTGGTGCTCGCGGGCCTGCGGTATGGGCCGATGTGCAGGAGTGTCGGGTGATTCTATGTGACTGACTGGGCTATTAAGCACAGAGGCTCCATGCAGGGTGAGGGGAGAGGGAGGGGATGTCCCAGGGCCTGGGGCATGGCTTCCCAGGCTCCAGCCGCCTCTGAGCTCAGCAGGCCATGGGCTTGCCAGCCCCAGTGCTAGCCTGCGGCAGACTGCAGATGCAGCGGGGGCATCTTGTGGCTGTGGCCCGGCATGGACTAACAGGGACACAGGCAGTCAGCAGGACAGCGGCAACTGTAGGGCTAAGTGAACAAAAGTGCCACAAACTAGCCTCTGCCTCCTTGACACTGGGGTGACGCACGCACGACTTGAGTCTTCTAAGGTCCTTGAGACAGTTTCAGGAAAAAGGGAAGGGCTTGAGGCCACACCCCCAGCATCTGCCGAGGAAGCCCATGGGTCAGGGTGGTCCTTCATGTGCAAACGGAACAGTGTTGCCTTACGGCTGTGCAGACAAACACATCTGGTCGATTGCCACTAACAACGTGGCACAAAACTGGTCATTATAATAAAGATTATTTTATCTATCTACAAACTGATTCTACATCTCCTTGGACAACACTGGAGGGTCAGCTCAGTCTTGGCACTGACATTGGGGCCATCTGGGCTCCCAGGCCCTGCACTGCTATGCTGGCCGCCTCAGGCATCACAGGCTGGCTGTTCCAGGCCTTCCATAGGGAGCTGGTTCCGATGGGGCGAGTTGGGGCTTGGAGGGCCGCTAGGGTTGGAGCTATTGGATGGAGTTGAGTGTTTGGTGGAATCGGAGTCAGGCTGCCAATGCAAAGAGAGATACGTGAGAGGCAGGTACGCTCTGGTCCCTGGAGTGAGTGCGCAGGCTGTCTACAGCCTCAGCAGGGCCCCTAAATTCACAGGCGGGCACATCCACTGACCCTGTACGCTGAAGCCAAGGGAGAAACTCTAGGGATAAATAGACGGGAACGTCATCGGGGTCAAAGGCTGTCATCAAAGCCTATAGCTACCACAGTATGAGAGAGAAACAGCTTCCCTGGGGTTAGGGACGAGAACGACCTCCTGCTTCACTGCACAGGTAGTGGACATAACACCATTTACAAGTGACGTAATCCTGCATACATCAAGACTAAACCTGAGCTACAAGTGAATTCAGCAGGCTCAGGGCTCAGTATTGACACACAGCAACAGACCACATGGAAACCAGACAAGTCAATTCACAAGAACATTGAAGATAACAGGCGATGTGTACAATCATAAACCACTACTTAATATGGCTGGAGAGACAGCTCAGAGTGTAAACTGCTCTTGCAGAGGAACCAGGGCTGGTTCCCAGCACCCACACTGAGCAGTTCACACTGTCTCTAACTCGGGCTCTGGTGGATCTGGCCTGTGCTAGCAACCACACCACAGAGAACAATAAAGGAGACTCAGAAAAATGGAAAGACGCTACACTCACAGACTGAAGTATTATCAAGATGGTATCGATTCTCAAAGTGGTCTGCAGACATAATGAGAGCTCCTGAAATTCTAATGGCCTTTTTCAGAAAGGGAAGTTACTCTAAAGAACAAAGCCTGGGTCTGGTGACTCTGGTCTCTACTTCCAGCTGTGATCAAGATCTGTGCAGAGAAGGAAAGCTGCCTGGGGACCTCACACTTTGTGTCATAAGCAAAATCCAGGCTGGAGTTGAGGCTCAGCAGAAAAATTCCCAGTTTAAAAAAATAAAGTCAAGGGACCCATGTCCCAAAGTCTATGACAAAGCAGCAGAGCGACACTGAAATCAGCAAACACACAGACGTCCACGCAGCCACAGCTGAAATCAGCAAACACACAGACGTCCATGCAGCCACAGCTGAAATCAGCAAACACACAGACGTCCATGCAGCCACAGCTGAAATCAGCAAACACACAGACGTCCATGCAGCCACAGCTGAAATCAGCAAACACACAGACTTCCACGCAGCCACAGCTGAAATCAGCAAACACACAGACGTCCACGCAGCCACAGCTAACGACTTAAACAAGGCTGTCAAGGCCATCCAGCGGGTAAGTACGCACCCTACAACAGCTGACACAGGACATTTACATGCAGGGGCTACACTCCACATACACACACACACACACACACACACACACACACACTGCTAAGAACGTAAACATTGGACGGAAACAATGTAACCAGTATTAGTTTAGATAGAATATCAAAAGTGGGTGTAACAGTTAAAAAAATTTGAATTTTGCCCAAATCAGTAGTTTTTATATGTCAAAAAACACCACCAAGAATGTGAAACACGGCTGGAGAGATGGCCGAGTGGTAAGAGCACTGCTGCTCTTGCAAAGCGCCTAGGCTTGGTGCCCAGCACCAACACGGTGACCCACAACGATCCGCAACTCCACTTCTAGGAGATCTGGCACCCTCTTCTGGCCTTATTGGGCACCATACACACAAGCAAAACACTCACACACAAAATAAATAAAAACCAAAACCACAAACCACAAGAAAAGACTGGCTTCAACGGAGAGCCAGCGCGTCACCCAGCATGCTCATCACCCAGCATGCTCGTGACGGGTGAGGAAGGAGGGAGGGGTCCCTTCTCCAGTGTGCACTGGAGAAGATGGCTAGCGTGGTGAGTCTCAGGTTGTAAAGGGAGCAGGAGAGTGGCCATGTCAATCGCCACTTCCATGTTGGGTGGCTATGAGTGACAGGCCAGCTCCTCTCTTTCCAGAAAGACCTAAGTCACATAAGACACGTAGTTCCTCAAACCTCAGTGCTAGATGTTAGGTAAAGTCCTAGCTCATCTGTTTCTCATCCCCATTCCATGGAGGGAAAACTGAAGCAGGGGCCACTGTCACCTCCCAGGGCATGCAATGCTGCTGCTCACACCCTCACAAGTGTTCTAGAAGGGAAGGAAGCGAGGTGACCAGAGGAGACTCTCCAGGATGAGAGCCAGGTTATGCCGTATCCACACAGAAAAACATGACAGAAAGGCCAGGTGTGGTGGCACATGCTCAGAACTGGGGAACAGGAAGACTGGCAGAGCAGAGCTTTTCTGGGCAAAGACAGATCCTGTCAGGAAAAGCAGAGATGAGCAGGGCCCATGACGCTCACACCCTTTCTTTACTGAGCACTCCAGGGGCAGGGGCTGGCAGATCTCAGCAATGAACTCAAGGCTAGGTCAGCACTGAGTTCCAGGCCAGACTGGGCTATCTAGTGAAACCCTGCATAAAAGCAACAAAACTCTCGCAAAACATACTAAAAGTCCAGAAGTAAGTGAGGTGGTGCCTGCCTGGAATTCCAGAGCTCGGGAGACCCTGCTCGGGACAGTCTGTTAAGTGTGACCACCTAGGCAGCAGGGCATGGAACCCCCAACCACTGAGAGCAGGGCTCACTCCTGGAGAAGCACTGAGAGCAGGGCTCACTCCTGGAGAAGTCAAGGTCGTCCTCAACTACACAGCAGTAAACTTGAGGCCAGTCCATCTCAGAGGGCAGAGAGGTTCAAAAGAGGGGCGTTTCTGGCAGAACCTCACCCCTAGGTGGGGTGTGTGCCTGGTGACCCCACAACCTTGGCCACACTGCTGCACGTGGACCTGTGACTCAAGTCAGACAGCTGCCCATCCTGGGCTGCCCAATGCTAGTGGGGGTCTCTGTGCTCAGGCCATTGTATTCCGGAGTGCAGGACTCCAGGGGGGCTCAAGACTGCACTCCCTGCTGTATGGTGCTTTACTAGACCCAGTTCTCAACCAGCGGGCCCTGGGGGTCACAGGTGGTGATATGCTTTCTGCTCTGCTGGCCCTGTGTGGCCACAGCGGTCTGTGCTGGGATAACACGTACCTCTCTGTCAAAGTCCTGGTCGGGATCGGACATGCTCCTCAGAGGCACGCTCACTCCAGGCTCAGACCCACCTGTGGACAGCGACACCTTTGACCTCAGGGAGAGGTCAAGAGGAAGACAGAGAATGGAGTTCCTACCCCAGCACCTACCCCCTGTGATACCTGATGAGGGCCATGAGATGTAGGGTTTGCTCCTGGACGGGGGCTGCCGAGGGGGACCCGAAGGGGCAGGGCCCTGCTTCTCCTCCTGGGCAGGGGGTGCGGCACTCTGGGGGAAGAGAGGAACACAGAAGAGTGGTACATGAACACAGACAGGGACCACGGTGGGGTTGCCACAACGGGATGGTAATGAACAGGCCCTGGATGTGGCTTCTGACCAGTTAGAGCTAAGAGTGGAAGGCAGCTATGTTCACTACTGTACCACCAATGCGTCTGAGCCAAGAACCAGCAAAGGCAATTGTAGAAAAGCCTACAGAAAACACTGTATAAAATGAGGACACAAAAGTTGCTATTGTCTCACACAAAGGAGTTAGACAGCAGTTCCCTAAGGGACACAAGTGCACACAGGGAGGTCCCCCATACAGACACCCATCTCGGTACCAAGGCATGATTCAGACAACACTGTGAAGGGTTTCACAGGTCAGCACAGAACACTGAGGCAGGACAGGCACTATCTGCACAGCAGGGGATGGAGCCCATGCCCACAGCTGGCTGAGCACGCACCAGAGGCAGGTCCATGAGCACCTGCATCCCATCCCCGGGGCCCATATGAGCCACGTGGTTGAAGTTGGTCGGGTTGGATATCATTTTGGATCTCAATTCTGGGTCTCTGAGCATCTCTCTGCGAAAAGGAAACATTTGAGAATCAGGAATCTGGAAGCATCCTCTGGCTCTGGCCAGCCCTTTACTGCACATTCATGGGGACCAGGGACCCGAAAGAGGGCCCCGCCTCACCGCCGCTGCTGCAGCCGCTCTTCTTCCGGAACTTTGAAGACAAAACGCCGTTTGCTCCGAGTCCGCAGCATCTGCTTCTTGCTGTTGTCCGAGGTATCGGGCACATTGAGGACAGCTCCTGTAGGAGAGCAGGTCACTAGGCTGCTGCATGGAGGGGCAGCCATACGTGCGGAAACGGTCACTTCAGACTGACCAGAGCAGTGGGATAGATGAGGCCCGTGCTCTGTTTGAGGGAAACTTCCCACCTGTGGGGAAGCTCACCTGAGAACTTGTTCTTGAAGTAGATGAGGCGTGGGGGCTCACAGCCCAGCAGGTTGAGGGTACCATCAGAGTTCAAAGGTCGTATCTGTAAGAGTGGAGGAGACCCATCATGTGTGTTACCAGGAATCAGAGCAGACAGCCGCCCTTGATGAGACCATCACGCTCTCTTACCCTCCGCAGGCCGATGGTCTGCACCCACTCCATGGTGCGCACGTCAAAGACGTCTACCCCGTACTCGCTGTACACCGTGACATGGGAGGGGCTGCAACCTGGTGCAGATGAAGCAGAGCAAGTAAGCGTCGAGTTCCACCCTCACCTGGCCTCTCAGACCACAGTGGCACTGCCAAGGTGCAGGCGCACGGTGCTGCCTGTGGTGGGGCTTACACCAGCCACCTTCACTTCAAAGTCACCTGTCCCACTGCTTCCACACCTCAGCAAGATGTTGAAGTTGATTTACAAAGTCGCCTCCTCAACTCGGCTCTCAAGAAACGAGCTTGGCGAGGCTCAACACCTGTTAAGTTCAGGCAGGGACCGTGGGTCCCACATTGCCAGGCAAAAGCTTCATTTTTTCCTCTTGTACACATATGAATCATTTACTTGCATGTGTATTTATGTTCCGTGTGCATGCAGTGCCTGAAAAGACTGTAAGAGGGTGCCAGATCACCGAAACTGTACTTACAGATGGCTGAGAGCTGCCTTGTGGGTGCTGGGAACTGAACCCCAGTTCCTCGGAGAGCAGTCAGTGCTCTTAACCACTGAGCCACCTCTCCAATCCCCAAAGCCTTCTAAAATGATGGAAAGAAGGCAGGTTTCTGGGTGAGTATTCTGGAGACCTAGACCGACTGCTCTGCTCTGGCCATGACTGGGCTGTGAACACTTCACAGGAGGGACCCTGCAGTGGGGAGGACCCGAGTGACCCTCTCGGAACACACTCAAAGCAGCATGGGCACGGGACGATGCCCCCTCCTTTCCCAGCTGTCTGCTGGGTTATGACAACAACCGGCACACTACACTGTAGATACATGTCCATGGCCCCTGAGCTGTGAAGCTGAGGGAGACACAGCAAAGCCCACCTGAATGGCCTGCCAGACACCAGGAATGGATGTCTACTACTGAGCTATGCTGCTGCTGCTGGCCAGCCACCGCTAGAAACCTTCAGTGTGGAGCAGGAGGGCCGTAGATCCCAGGCTGACTGCTGGAGGCCTCTGCCCTAAGCACTCACTGGAATACGCTCTAGGAGCTATGCAGCTAAGGCTCTGCCCATTCCAGCCAGGTGCAGTCAGCCTAGGCAAGCCAAGGTACTGAAGCCTGGAGCTGGCCACCAAACCTGTGCACAGCACTCTCTCTCTCTCTCACACACAACCCCACACGCTGGTTTTGATACCATGCGCAGAGGCTGGCCCTCAATCACCTCTAAGATGACAATGCCCCACATGGGAATGGTGGGGCAAGTGCTCTTACTTGTTGAATATATGGGACTTCACTTCTGATCTGTCAACAAAGGATGATGTTCAAACTGAAAAGTTTAAAGAAAACACACACTAAAGAGAACTCAGTGGAGGACGTGTGCTTTTGAGCTGGACAGACTTGCAGGCTGAGGGCTTTGCACCTGTCTCTGAGACAGGACGAGGAGGCACCACGGGCACTGCTGTAGACAGGCTCTCAACAAGTACTTCTCCACCCTAGTTCCTTAACTTCTTCCAGCTCTAAAGTTGACCTGGACTCTGCTACACATGGGGCTGAGGAGGAGGACTCATGAAGGTGGAAAGGCAGGAACACCGGGTTCTCATGCTAGTCATTCATGTCCAGGATCACAGGGACACTGCACTCAGGGACCTGAGTTACTGGGAAGAAAAATGAAATTCTAGAAGTAAGGAGTGTATGGCACAGAGCGCTGCACTGGCTGCTGTAGAGACCAGGACAGGGCTGTCCTTTCTGGTGAGCTGCCCAGGCCTGCCACCCTGCTCCAGCTTCCTGGGTGAGAAGGGTTCTCAGTGTTGCAGTGCACAGATTGGTTATCAGCCATGACAGCTCTGGTGTCTAGCTTGGCCACACCAGCGAGAAGTCAGCCTTGACTTTTTAGTTGCTCACCATCAAGGAAACATGCCATTCCCTCCTATCCCAGCAACCTCAGATGCTTCATGCCAAAACCAAGTCTGTGCCTTGCTGGTCGCAAATTCTTCACTGCTTGCTGCTGACTCCAATTCTATGATGGTTGGGCAGCCTTAAAGCCATAAAGTGCTCGGCTCTCCCAGCCTTACAACTTCTCAAACAAATCACGGTGTCCCAGCCTCTGCACAGCACCACACACACACGGACTTCTTACTGCAAATGACCTGACACGGAGTTAAGTCTCCTGGTGACCGAAACCCCTGTAGCTTTATATGGTCCTGTGAATTCATCTACTATGGGAAATGCCTTTTAAAAGAAGATTCCAGGTTCATTTCCTATTCACGGTGCCTTTCTGCCCAGGAGGCCTCTTGCTGTCACACACTGGAGGAACAAGCAGAACACCTGGGAGGAAGTCTGCTGGCCAACAGCACAGGCCCAACCCTGACTGCACACTGCCTGCCTGTAGACCAGCCTCGTCACTCTGCTCCTTATTCTCAGCTGGGGGACTGGGAGACAAACCAAAGCAAACAGAATGCATGCCGACTGTCCATATGAGAAGCAGCAACAGTGATATGGCAACAGAAAAACATATACATACTACAGGCGACAGGAGCCGCAGGCCACATGAGCTCCTGCATGCGTGACCTCCGGCCTTGAGGGTCCACGTACAGTCCCATGTGGCTGAAGCAAAGCAGGTATTCCTCACTTTTGAGCTCCACAGCACAAAGGGCATCGAAAGACTGCTGTGAGAGGAACGCAAGCGAGGGATCAGTGGGATTTACCAGGTCTAGAGGCTGCCCGTCCCCCTGGATGCTCAACAGAGAGAACCCAGAAGGGTAGCCAACACAGAGCCTGTCCTTGAACACGGCCATCCACTGCACGTGTCCTGGTGCCACCAGTTCATTGAACTTCCTGTGGAAAGGTTTAGTTCTCTGAATCTCATAGCAAAGGATCAGTCGCTTCACGGCTACAAACAGGCAGGTGGACGAACTCTTCCTCAGTGTCCCTGTTGCTATGAGTTGGCAGCCTTTCGTTTCGGGAAGCTTGATATCAAAGTTGCTTGCTTCTGCTCCATCAAAGGAGGACCAGGGGTAGAGGTGCACGTGGTGGTTTCGGCCACAGAGGAGGATGATGATCTTCTCCTTGGGCGCCAGTTCGATCTGGTACACTTTCTTGCAGTCAGCAGCGCGGACAATCACTACAAGCAGAGGGTGCAGGTGACTTGCTCTGGCTGACACGAGAGCTGCCCTTGGGTTCCCTAGCAATCCTCCCACCACAGCAAGACCCAGAGCCAGTGTTGCAAATGCCCCTAACAGAGACATAGCTTGTCTCAGCTTCCTGACAACCTTGTCCTGTACTCAGTGTGGCCGGTTCTAGTTGATACAAAACAGTAAGCTCCTGTGGACTGGATCTGGAATTCCCAAGCTCATGCCCACTCAAGCTAGGACACTAGCTGGCTTAGGACCTCAGCCACTTTCCCTGGTCTGGAGCCTGAAGGACACAGCTGCCCGCTTGCTCTGGCTACTGTAGGCTCTGGCTCCTTCTCTCAACAGGAAGTGACTATGGAGTGGGGAAAGGCAGGAAAAGCCATCTTCCCTGGCTGGCAGGAGGGACCAGGAACTCTGGGAAGTTTCAGTGACCCAGCATCACTGGCTCTCCCGAGGGGCTCTGTGACCTACCACCTATCCCATTCCCTTTAAAGAACTCAACAGAGGCTGGATGTGGTGGTGCACACCCTCAGCCCCAGCACGGGAAGCAGAGGAAGGTGGATCTCTGTGAGTTTCCAGGTCAGCCTGTCCTACATAGTGAATCCCAGGATGGTGAGGTATGTCTGTCTCAAAAACAAATAAGCGAACAAACAAATAAAAAATAATTCAATAGAGGGCCAGCAAGGTGGCTCTGTGGGTGCGGGTGCTTGCTGCCAAGCTTGAAAACCCGAGTTTGAGTAACAGGACACACATGGTGACAGGAGAGCCAGCTGCCTCCGGTTGTCTCCTCACCCGTCCTTGTGTATGTGCACACACACAGAAACCAATCAATCAAAAATTAGCTGGCCAGGCGATGGGGGTGAACACCTTTAATTACAGCACTTGGAAGGCAGAGACAGGTGATCTCTGAGTTCAAGGCCAGCCTGGTCTACAGAGTGAGTTCCAGGACAGCCAGGGCTACACAGAGAAACCCTGTCTCAAAAACAGACACATAAAGCGACCCAGCAAATACGTTCCAGGCACCTGTATGGAACACCTGCTGTACCAACTGGAAATCCTTTCTTTCCACGTCCTGCTAAGTCCTCTGCCACTGCCACTCGACGTACATATCAGGAGGTCTTTTTTGTTTTACAGCGCTGGAGTGGGACCCGAGAGCCTCACATTCTCACACTGGGCCACACAGTCTGAGCAAACCCTGAGCCCTGCTGAAGGCTGCAGCAGTCAAGCGGACTCCAGGTGCCCTTCTACTCACCATCTCGGGTGAGCTCAATGACGTAGAGCCCCTCTTCCAGGCCGACTGCAATCCTGTCTCCATCTGGGGAAACACCACAAAGGTCCTGTGAGGCCAGACCTCCTTGTTCACACGGGACAACCGTCCACATACAGATGTGGACCACACAGCCATGCTCGGAACCTGAGTTCCCAGACCTGAGAGGAGCGCTACAGACATACCCACGATAGCGGCAGCGAGAACAGCCTTGATGAGCGGCAGACTGCTGTCATAGGCCTCCTGAGCGACGTGCACCACCTGGCTCCTCAGCCGGTTCTTATGGAGGATGGCCTGCAGTCCTTCAAGGATCCCAACCCACTTCCTCTTCTCATTCTCGTTTTCCGTCAGGATGAGCAGTGAGCTGGCCTTAGAAGGTGAACCTAAGAGAGAGGCCGTCACCTTCATGAGAGAAACAAAACAGACAAAGCCATGAGCTGCCAGCCAGATCAGAGCAGGGACTGTGCTGGAACCACCCAGCCACAAGGTCACAAACTGGATGCTAACAGGCTCAAATCCATGTCCCTGCTTTGCCCCACAGACCACCAATCTCTCCAGCTGCCAGCTGGGCACCGGCAGGGCAGCTGACAAAGCGGCAGTGCTGCAGACACACAAGTCCTTCCTGGGCAGATTCAGTTCTCTCTGCTCTTGTCAACACCATCACATAAACACGCATTCTCAAAGTGCTCTCTTGCAGCACTCGGGAGAGTGGCAGAGGCAGGGGGATCTCTGTGAATTCAAGGCCAGTCTGCCATACACTGGCCACATCCACATGGAGTACACAGTCAGTTCCAGGACTAAATAGAGACCTTGTCTCACAGAGAAAAGAAAAGCTTCCCTGAATAACTTTATCATGATGGTGTGTCAGGGAAGAAAGGTCTCCAGCAAGGGCTCACTGAGCACCATCAGGAACTGGCAGGCTCGACGGCTACAGAACGGTTGTCACTCTGAGCACAGAAGGCTGATGATTTTCTGCATCGTATGGAAAAGGTTGTTTCTGAATAAAAGTGTGATTCAGTAAAAAACAACTCTTGAGTCCTAGCTTTATGGTCAACCAGATGTACCTACAAACAGTCCTACTAGGAGTGTGTATTTCTCTGAACAACACTCTTCCAGGAGTATCCTGGGGCTTTAGCATACAGCACTCGCTGGGAGCACAGACTTCAGCTTAGTCAGAGAAACACAGACAAACCAGATGTAGTCATTCTAGAATGTTTTCTGTCTTACTCAGTGAGAGCCAGTATGCCAGGGAGGGGAAGGGAACCTAAACAAGACCCTTCTCACAGATCCATGAAGTCCTTCAGTGCTAACCACTGTGGACAGGGTAGAAGGACCGCCATGGAAAGCTCCTCATGAAAGACAGGCTGTGGGGGGAGGGGCGCAGTGCTCAGCGAGGGTCAGCTGCACAGGAAGATGGCAAAGGAGGAACAGGGGAGGGGCCACTAGAGATAGTCCTTAGAGCTTGCTGCAGCACAGCCAGATGCTTGAGAATTGATGTCTTTTTTGTTTTGTTTGTGCTTTTTAGAGGGAGGCAGGGCCTCACCATGTAGCTCTGATTATCCAGGAACTCACAGAGATACGTTGTCTCTGGCCCTCCAGTGCTGGGATTAAAGGGCATGTACCACTATGCCCATGGTTTCTGTTGCTGTTTTTAAGAACTGCTGTCTTTTAACAGTGTGATTTATTTTAAAAAGGATGTCTCACAAACAGAAGTGAAGTCAGAGAAACTCATACCCTGAATATACATGGAATGTCTCGGCGTGTTGCATGGATGACATCTGAGGCCAGGACTGAGCTCACGGAAAACTCGTCATCTCTGGCAAGAAAGAAACGCACACAGTTCTGGGAAAGCTCTGCAGATCGGCTGCCACATTTTCACAACCTGTCCCAGCATCTGAACGGGGGGACACTGAGAACGGGGCCCCCGCCTGACTCCCATTGCCACAATGTCCCCCAGTTCCAAGTTCCACATCTTATTTCTGGCTTGTCCTTGGTACGAATGGGTAAAGCCTCATTAACTACTGGCCAACAAGAAGCAGAAGGTGCTGAGTTCAGATGGGAATGCCAGCTTGAGTTGTCCTGGCCAGGCTATAGCTGTGGTGGTCTGAATGAGAATGGACTCCAGAGACTCACATTTCTGAATGCTTAGTCACCAGGAGTGGAACCACTTGGAAGGATTAAAAGGATTAGGAGGTGTGGCCTTGTTGGAGGAAGTGTATCACTGGGGGTTGGGTGTTGAGTTTTAAAAGCCCATGGCAGGCCCAGATCTCTTTCTGCTTCTGTATCAGGATGTAGCTCTCAGCTACCTACCGCTCCAGCACCAAAAGTGTTCCCTGCCGTGATAATGGACTAAACATCTGAAGCTGTAAGTAAGCCAATTAAATGTTTTTCTTCATAAGAGTGCCCTGGTGATGGTGTCTCTTCACAGCAACAGAACGGTGACCAAGACAGTTGTATGAAACAAGAAGCCACAAGGTACCATGCAATGGGGACATTGCCACTGCTGGGTGTTTCTGACTGACATGCTGATGGCAGCAGTGACGCCTGCCAGCCCTGCTCTGTCTGAGTGTGCCCTTGGGACCTGGTTAGTTCTCATGACAGCTCCTCATACCTGCTACCATTCTCCAATGGACCCAGAGAGAAATGCGGAGGACAGCACAGTCTGCCACCCTGGGCAGTGAGCACTGGATACCAGGGTAGCATTTTGCTGCATAAACATACCTGAGGTCCAAGACTTGACTAGCGATGACACCAGGCTGGGTGGACTTTCCTTCTGGCAGGTCGTACAGAAAGAGCTTGCAGTCGCAAACCACTGCATATGCCCGCTGCCATCCCTTCTTCACTCCTGTGGGCTTTGGGACCTACAAACCAATAGTGACTACGTTTCCCTGGGCCACAGAGAGGGGCAGCACAGAGACTGCCAGACCCTTAGCATTTCCCACAGTCTGGGTCCACCCACTAGGTGACTGTCCTGGTCCCCAGGGACTGCTCCCCCATCAAACATTTTTCCAGACTGGTAGGTAAGCCTGTGTTTAGACTTGACTTTGTCTAGTCAAGCTCAGGGCCTGACTAGAAGCTTGTGAATGGGACAAGGGATGCTGACAACCCAGGACCACACTGTATCCTGGAGGCTGCAGCTGGTAAGACACGGAGATAGATAGCCCAGGTACCCGTGGTTGGCAAGCACCGCTTGGATTTGGGACCTCGACTTTAAGCTCATGACAAGACACCCAAGGAGAATGACTGTAGGAACCTAAGGTGGAATCCGCACCCAATGGCACTCAGGCTCCTGGCCATGTCAAGTAGCAGTTGTGTCTGAAACCTTCAAGGTACCAGGGCTGCTCCACACAGCAAACAGACTGCTTCAAGAATAGATGAGCTATGGTCACTGGTTATCACACAAAACAATTTAATAGCTGACCTAATGAGAAATGAGCCGCACCGGGCTATGGGGTAGAAGAAGCTGGCTCCTCTTACCTTGACATAACCCTTGTAGGCTGTGCCTATGCCCCTCTGCACATCCACGCCCAGAGGCCTCTTGGACTGCTCGGGAGGAATGGGGCACACCTGGGGAGCGCTGTCTTTGCAGGACACATGGCAGGAAAACGCACACACTGGAAAAGAGGAACAGTTCCACCCACCTCACAACACGCAACCAGGGCAGTGGAGCTGCTGAGCACAGGCTCTCTGCACACACTGCCCAGGAAGGCAGACTCCAAGAACACAATCCCAAAAGGCTTCAGAATAAAAGTTCAACAAATATGGCGCCCACACATGAAGAGGGGTCACCTGAACAAGCACACACTGAAGTTTGCCTCATAGTTACCCCACGAGCCTGCTCCAGATCTGCCCACTGAGGTCATCTGGGTGCCACTGTAGGGCAGTCACACTGATACACAGCCAATCAGAAGGCTTAGGACAACTAACAAACTAGCAACAGAAAAAGAAGAGCGTGTGTGCCTGCACAGGGGAGGCTCTGAGCAGGGATCACTGTGCCGTCCATGAAGTGAGGTGGCAACAGTCTCAGGGCACAGGCTCAACAGCACACGGCCAAATCCCATCACAGAGTAGAGTATAGAGGGCTGCTGTAATTTAAAAATAATGATTACCATAAAAAGACAGTATAATCATATGAGGGCTAGACAATCTGGAGCCCGTGGGAAGGGTCAGTGGAAAAAGGCGATGGCCGCCAAGTCTGACGGCCTGAGTTCAACCTCTGGCATCAAAGGTGAAAAGAGGAGAAGCAACTACTCAAGCTGTCTTCCGACCCCAACGTGTGTCAGGGCACATGTGGACACACACTCACATCACAGACAAGTAAGTACATTTAAGAAGTTAAAAACAAAAGCAAAAATAACTCCCCCCGCCCTCCCCCCCAAAAAAAACTCCAGATGAGAGTGGAAAGTTCTGGCCCTTCCTCTTTGCTCCGACATGACAGAATGGCTTTGAGTGTTGTGCTCCACAGAGCCATGGGGGAGGTGAGATCCACAGGGGAGGTGCTGTGCTTTATATATAGTAACTTTCAGGTGATTACCTGGTTACTGGATCTACATGCTGGTCAATACTGCTACAGGCCTTGACTGTATGAAGAACAGGCCTGGCCCACACTGCTAACCATGCACCCCCCCCCCCCCCCCCCAGCTTGGCTGCTGTAAAGACTCCATCCAGAGCATCAGGGTATCCAGTTCAAGTGTGCGATCTGGCATTCAGGCCAACACTCACCTTCACAGGCATAGCCCTGTCGGATCAGACCAACCATCAAGGATGTGCAGTGGCTGCACTGGGTGGGGCTGGGAAAGGACTTGATGCTGAACTGGTGTGCTTTGGGCTGCAGGGAAAAAAAGCAAAACAAACCAGGTGACCAAGGAGAAGTGGGTCAGTGCTCTTGACTGGCTTATACACAACCTGCCTGCTTCGTGCCTTTTCTCTTCCAGCTATGGGTTCTTCATCAGTGGCGCCTACACCCCAAGGTCCCAAGCCAGAACTCAAATCGGATTAGGAACACTTCCAGGGACCAGCACCAACTGGATCTGGGATTTGGCCTGGAACCCTGTCTATGTTTGGCTCTTTTTGGGTGTGTGAACAAGACAGTACTCTTAATTTACAAGATATGTTAACAGCAAAATCTTGGAAAGACCCACCGTCTCCTGCCAGGAGGACAGAAAAATTAGAATACAACAAACAGGGAAAGAGTGAGACTAGCTGGAAAGATGAGGACAGGCCGTGACAGCTTGCCTTGAAAGCCCACACTAGTGACAAAGGTGACACACTGCTCAGGAAGACGCACACACAGGAAAGACCATGTGTTTCTCGAGGAGTGGAGGATGGTTAGCACAGCCCCAGGAGTAGCTACAGGAGGTGGCCAGAGAGGAGGCAAGGGCTCGGTCACAGAATACACTCCACCTTTACAGTGCCTTTCCTGGGCAGCAGAAGTCACTAAACAAGCAGCCCCGCACCTTGGTCCTTGATTCTACAAGAGCCCAAGCACCAAAGCCAAAACATGAATTACTCTCAGGTCTCCAGGGGGAAATAGCAATAGACCAGGTCTGTATTTAAAACAAAAACAACAAAAAAACCAGGACACAAGTCCATGCCAGGCATACTGGCTAAATGCAGCCACACTAGAACCTCAGGTCCTGACACAGTTGGGAAACTCAGGATCTACAGAGAGAAAGGACCGAGTGAAGCTTCAAGGTTACTAAGGAAAACAAGGTGAAGACACACATAGTGAGGGGCCAGGCTCTTGCAATGCTCATGCAGAAGTCAGGGAACAACCTGCACATTGTGGATAGCTGCTTATGTTGGGAACAGTCTCCTACACACCGTATGATTCCCAACAACAGACATGATAGAGGGAAGCACCTGGCCGTGCGAGAGCCCAGCACGAGACGAGTGAGGGAAAGGAGGGTGAGGCTGGAACTGCTTCCCCTGAAAACACGCTGGGTGATCGAGGGTGCTGACGACAGTGCAGATCCTGGACCTGGGTTTGTGAACTGTCCCCACCGTGCATATTCAAAACCAGCACGGCTACTTTACACAAAATTTATCTCTAAAACCAAGAAGACACCCAGCGACGTAAGAGGGCCTACCTTGGGTCCAGCCATGGCAAGGGCCTGTGTGCTGGGCAGTGGAACAGCAGACGGCCTCTGCTGGGGCCGAGGCATATCCTAGGAGAAAGGTGTGGACAGGTGAGCGGCAGCTTAGCTGCCAGGTCCTATCTGGGGTTTCTCTCTAGAATTTATAAATTATTAACATTCTGAATTTCTAATTTATTACATTGTTCAGGCACCTGTCACGGTTTCCCTCATTTACCTGATGCTCTGACAGAGTTCTGCAGAGGAGATGTAGAAAGAGAGCCTGCAAAGGCGTAGCTACAAGCTGCACAGCAGACCAGGGCCCACAGAGTACCTTACCTCCTGCTGCTCTGTACTTGTGGCCACAGACACTGAAGGGGACAAGTCTGGCTTCGAAGCCTGTGCTTCTTGATCACTGGCTGAGCTAGTCTGCAACAAGAAAAACAGGTGGTGTTTGTGCCTGGACAGTGCATTCTGTCAGGTCTAGGTACCCTGTATCCTAGCTACTCCCAGGTCTCACCATGAACCTCTTTACTCACTATCCTGACTTTCCCAGGGAACGGCAAGTCACTATTATGGCCACTTCATTCCGTGAGTGAGCCTCCAGCCGTTTAAAAGCAGAACAGGGCTGGGCATGTCGGTGCACACCGTTCATCCCAGGACTCTGCATGCAGATTCCTGTGAGTCTGGGGCCAAACTAGTCTAAGTAGTGAGTTCTAGGTCAGCTAGTAAAAACCTCTTTTTTTTTTTTTTTTTTTAAATAAAGGGACTGGGAAAATTAATATCAGAAAAGGAGCTGGGAATCACAGCCTCAGGCAGTCCTCAGACAGCCCAGATATCAAACTCCTATCAGAGATCAAGAGGCAATTCACACACAGCCCCGGCAACTAGAGTTTGCAGCCCCCGAAAGCAGTGCCAGCCCTCACAGGCTCTCTTCAAGAACAGCCATCTGAGGTGAGCCTTCCTGCAGGCGGAGCCCTGGGCACATGGGCACAGGAACGTGCAAAGGCCCTAGCACGGGAGACTGTAGAGAAGACTCTCCAAGTCCACAGCTGAACTGTCTTCCACTTCCGACCCCCACAGCACACAGGTAGAACTTTCCAAAAACTGCAATTGACCAGCCCCTGAGTAGACTCCACGTTCCAAGGGGAGGGAGTACTGGGGGCAACACAAGCACATGTGTAACTGCACACTCCAGGGCTATCAATTAGCTCGCGAGCACAGCTAGTAAATGTGAGGTCACCCACAAGGCCAGTCAGCATGTTAGCTCCACCTGGTGAGTGAAGGGCAAGCGGGGCATCAATGTTAGCCGTGTAAGACCCCAGGTTCCTTAGTTGTTAATCGAAGGGTGCAGACTTAGCAGAGCACCCACGGAAGGGGGTCTGCAGTCACTTACGTCCTCCCACAAGGCTAGCAGAGAAGATGCAGACGAGGAGGAGAGCGAGTCCTTGGTATAACAGACAGGAGGAACACAAATGGTCATTTTCCCCAGGAAAGCCTGGCGAGGCTACTGTGGAGACCCATGTCTAGCATGCTGCAACATGTTCAGCCTGGCAAAGTACAAGATCTCCCAAGTGGTCCTCAGTTCTGGAAACTTTTAACATGGACCCTGGTCCAGCTTAGGGTTTTCTTTGAAAGGAAGCACGCTTCATACTCAAATGGCAAAGCATTGAAGAGGGTCTAGAACCGAAAGGCAGGATGCTGGGCAGCGAATGAGGAGTGCTGATAACTGTTCCACCTCCACGGTAAACTCAGTCCACGCTGGGATTTCCACACTGGTGGACAGTACTGTGAAAGCCACGAGCCACTGCACTCTCTGTGCAACCCAGTGTGCAAGGTGAGCGATTTCTGCTGTAATATATTTGCTTAATATATTATGAGGACTTCCCAGGTGGTGGTGGCACACGCCTTAAATTGCAGCACTCAGGAGGCAGAGGCAGGTGGATCTCTATGAGTTTGAGGCCAGCCTGGTCTACAGAGCAAGTTTTAGGACAGGCAAGGCTACACAGAGAAATGCTATCTTGAGCTCCTCCCCTCAAAAAAACAAACAAAAAAAAAACCAACCAAAAAAACCCCTCAAAACAAAACAAAATAAGCCCAACAAACAAAAAAACAAGGGAAAAGACAACTTGCCCTTTGGAAAACCCACAACTACTCCGATGAGTGAAGGCAAACAGCTGAGGCCCAGATGACTCACTCTGGGAGTCTGTACTGTGACCTGTGGGAGGGATCCCAGCAGATGCCACCTCCAGCCTGGTGACACAGCTGCAAAGTGGCCTCTGTACAGAAAAAAACAAACAAACCCATCTCCTGTGCAGAATCTATGCCAAACCCACTCCCATGGGCACCAAGAGGGAACATGATATAATCCCAGAGGGCAGGCACTCTACCAGGTCCTAAGTAGAAGAGATGGCACTGTCTGACCTCTGGCGGGTCCTGAACCGGGAGGAAACACAGCCAGGACCACAGGTAAGTCTGCACAGAGCCTTAGGAGGCAACTGTGCCAGGTTTCCTGTGGCCACTGCTGTCTACAAACCACTTTCAACTAATCCAGAGAGAGACTTGTGTGTAAGTGAGCGAGGGAGACCGGCAGAGAGGAGTGCACACGTGAAGCACATGCCAGGTGAGGATGCGGGTGCCGAGTGCTCATGTCCGCTTGTGGGCAGGCCAACAGTTCAGAACCCGCACTGGGTGCATCACCACAGCTGCTCCCCAGCCTTGTCATTCCTACATGCATGCCTGCTGTAAGGAACTAGTGGAGCAAGCCCACCTCTCCGCTCCAGAAGAGGGAAGTGGCCCTGGAGTGCTCTGGGGCCCCTGCAGCCTGTGAAAGGAGGAGGGGGCTCATCCCCCTCTGCAGGGGGATTCTAAGCAGACCTGCAATCACACGCTGGTTACCTGGAGGTTTACTGGCTCAGAGATGGGCAAGATCAGGCAGGGTCTGGTAAATTGTTTGGTACTCAATCTCTTATAAACCACTTTTCTCACTAATCACTGAGTCTAAGCTATATATTCACACAGAAGTCCCAGAAATGACTATTATTATTTATATTTTAAATTTTACACCAAATCCTCACCACACAGCCAGAGGCCAGTATAGATTTCTGCATCGAGGCTAAGTATCGTCTCAGTTCCCTTAGTCTCGGGGAACAGTTCCAACACCTACAGTGTTCTCCACCTTCACACACGTGACTTCCCTGCCCGTGATGTCACTGGCACAACTCTCATGTAAACGTCAGACCGCTGTTTCCTCGTCAAGTCAAGGTCTACTGCTCCTCACTTACACATTCTCATCATTTGCAAAAGCAATACTCACTCTGAACGTGAGGTCGTGTGCGAGAGGAGCAGTGTTGAAATACTCAAAGATAGAGTCCTGGAAATCTGGAAGTTTGAGCCCTGCAAGAAAGAAAGAAAGGAAAATTAAGACAAAAATTAAGACAGCAGTCCTCGCTGTTGACGTGATGGGACTTCAGGGGGGTCTAGAGGAGGGGTGAGGGGCGGGGGAGTCACAGTACATGACCGCAGGGTCATGGAAGCTCTCTGCCGTGACAAACAACCACACAGAGCAGAGACCCCAGAAATAGCAATTTCCAGAGACCACATGAAACCAGGAGAGAAAGGACATTAAGATGAGCATTTAGCTGGGAAGACACCTTGAACCACAGGCCAGAGTGGGTTCCAAATCATGCCAGGCACACAGCAATGACCTCAGCACTTATATGGCCGTAGTGGAAGATCTTGGTTTGAGGCCAGTCTGATCAACACAGTGAGATCTTGTCTTGTTTTAAAAAATGAGGGGTAGGGGGAGGCACTGGCTATATTTCCAGAGGGCCCAGATTGGATTCCCAGCTGCTCACAACTGTCTGTAACAGAATCCCAGTTCCAGAGGATCTGACACTTGCTTCCAGCTTCTGAAGGCACCAGATATTAAGTAATGCACAGACATACATACCAGCAGAAACAGCAATACACATAAAATAACAGTCAGGAAAATGTACTTCTTGAACAGCCTATAGCTGGGAACATGTTCCTTTGCAAGGAAAGGCAAGATTAATAAACTTGAGACAAAACCAGGGAAAGCTTTTTCTTTTTTGGGACAGGGTCTCACGGAGACCAGGATCACTGTGCACTGGGCCTCTCTACCTCCTGAGTGCAGAGCTCACAGGTATGTTTGCACCATGCCTGCTTCCTGTGGCGTTTGTGCGGTCAGGCAAAATCTAACATTAGGCTGCAACCTTGCCCTAGAAAGGCTCTTTCTTAGCAAAAGTCAGAGTAGAAGAAAATATAGGAGACTTAAATCACAAAAAGATTTTCTCCTCAATATACAAAAAAGCTTCTGAAATATAAGACAACCCAGATTTAAGAAACAGACAAAAGATTGTAAATTCCTGGACTGAGATGCCACCTATCTGGATGGAGACTCCCAAGTATGAAGCTCATTTTGAGTTGGTCTAAGACTAAGGGATGTGACATTCTGCCTTTTTTTTCTGTTTCTTTTATTTTTTTTAATTTATTTATTTATTAAAGATTTCTGTCTCTTCCCCACCACCGCTTCCCATTTCCTTCCCCCTCCCCCAATCAATTCCCCTTCCCAAAGAGCCCAAAGAGCGATCAGGGTTCCCTGCCCTGTGGGAAGTCCAAGGACCACCCATCTCCATCCAGGTCTAGTAAGGTGAGCATCTAAACTGCCTAGGCTCCCACAAAGCCAGTACGTGCAGTAGGATCAAAAACCCATTGCCATTGATTTTGTCCTCATTGTCCGCTATGTTCAGCGAGTCCGGTTTTATCCCAGGCTTTTTCAGACCCAGGCCAGCTGGCCTTGGTGGGTTCCCGATAGAACATCCCCATGTTCTCAGTGTGTGGGTGCACCTCTCGCGGTCCTGAGTTCCTTGCTCGTGCTCTCTCTTCTTCTGCTCACTGAAGCACGTGGGGAAAAGCTCTATAGACTCCCATCAGGCCGCAAACTCAGAAAGAATCCTGCTGCTTCAGCCTCCTGGGTGTTGGGATTACATCTGTTCAACACCACACCTCGGCACTTGTTGAGTGAAGGGCAGGAAGCAGCCCAGCCCAGAAGGCTCAGTGCAGCTGTGAAAGGGCTCTAGCTGGTTCCCATGGGCTGTGGTCTAGTGGCCTCGTCAGAAAAGGGCTGCCTTTTGTGTTACAGGGGACGTGACTGTGTAACTACAGATGTGTGTGTGTTTGCTTTGATTTTCAAAGGAAGAAGTAACCAAAATTTATGGCTAATTTCGAGGAAGGTATTTTTAAAAATATTGTTTCAAAATTTTAAGCTTGGCAGTATTTTTTGTTTGCTTGTTTGTCTCTTTGGTATTTTTTGTTTTGTTTTGTTTTTTGTTGTTTTTTTTTTTTTTTTTTTTTTGAGACAGGGTTTCTCTGTAGCTTTTTGGTTCCTGTCCTGGAACTAGCTCTTGTAGACCAGGCTGTCCTCGAACTCAGAGATCCGCCTGCCTCTGCCTCCCGAGTGCTGGGATTAAAGGCGTGCACCACCACCACCTAACCGGAAATATTTTTATACAACTAAAAAACGCTATTAAGAAGAAAACCACTCATTAGAAAAGGCTGATATTTAGTAATTAAAATCTTTTGGTTTTAATTTACCTGTATCCGCTCTAAATTTTTCTTCCATCTTTTTCTTCAGAATCTGCATTTCTTCTAATAACTCCCTGTTTTTGGCTTCAGATTCCTTTAGTTTACTGAAATAAAAGTAAACAGCTGTAAGTGCAGGGAGCAGAGGCGTCCTGGTTCACGGTGTGCTTTCTTGGCCTCCTGAGCACGGCTACGGACATGTAGGCCTTTCCACTCAGCATATTACAGAAAGTTCAGAAGTGTGAATTCAAACACAGGCTTTAAGTGATGGCTAAGGGGTTACAGGAGAACAAGTGTGCAGTCCCAGCAACCAGGAAGCTAAGACAACAGAATCAAGAGTCAAGGCCAGTCTGGGCTACATTAAATCAACAAAACAAAGTATCTAAGTAAGGTAGTGGTCAAGAAAAGTGTAGCTCATGAAACTGGGTGAGCTTTTGCCTGCCATCTGAAGATAAGTGCAGAGTCCAGATCCCTTGGCTGTTGTCTTGGAAAAGGCTTCCCCAGGACCAACACCAGCACTAACACTGAGGGTGGAAGCCCTGAGAGCCTGGCTCTTTGTAGGCCTTGCTCCAGGACAGAGCTAGCAGGTGAAACCTGGCCATGATGGCAGAACCCAGCACAGGCATGACAACTAGTCAGCAGGATGGCATTCACCTCCACACACCTGCACCTTGGTCTCATCACCTGTAGAATGAGGATACTTGATTCAGGCTATTGCAAATGCTAGGCAAGTTCTCTACTACTGAATGGTGAACCTGTCTTTTTTTGAAAGACTCTGGCTGTGTAGCATAGGCTGGCCTTGACCTCAGGATGTCTGAGCATGAGGGCCAGGGTTACAGTGCATAGGCTCCTATTACTTCTTGAGAACACTAAGGAGCCCTCTCCAGAAAAAGCACAATCTACCCACCTGGATATACAGATTGAGCTATGTGCTGTGAACCTTGCATTCCTCCAGACATCTCTATAGTCACCCTGACTTAAAGACCCCACGTGTTCCTTGGGAGCAGCAAATGTCCTGACAATCTCAGGGGCAGCCTCAGGTCACGAAGGCCCAGTTTCTCTGGGGGGCTGGCTCCAGGACAAACCAACCTTTCAAAGGAGAGGCTTGTGTCTTTGACCTTCCTCAGCTCCTCTTGAACCAGCTGCTTGGCGCGGATCTCTGCCTCAAGAGCAGACTGCAGTTCCAGCCGTGCAGACATGTCCAGCTTCTGACTTCGGCGAACTTTCCAGAGTGGATCCTTGGATTGGTTAAAATAAAATACGTTTAAATTTACTTAATAAAATGATTACAAATAAGTAATTCACCTTAAGTATATCACAAATTACTTCTCTCAGTCCTGCTTTTAACTTTAATATAAGTATTTTGTTTTCTTTTTGGAGTGCTGGGGAGTAAACCCTGAGCAAGGACATGCTAGGTAAGTGCCCTAGAACTGAGATAAATCTCCAGGCCAATATTTTGTAACTTTTTATTCCTTCTTTAAAAAAATGATTCACATCATTTTCACTCATGTGCACTGTGTGTGTGTCTGCTCATGTGACATTGAGAGTCGAGTGCCCATGGAGATCAGAGGCGTCAAAGATACAGAGAACCTATCTCAAAAAGCAAAAAGTTAAAAGTAAAAATAAACAAAATAGAGGTTAAAATAAAACGAACAAAGATGGAAAATACACAGAGAATTTTGATACTGTATGCTATTATGCTCTCTTTAAATTATTTAAATGCTGAGGAAGGAGCAACAGATGCTAAAAGATATTTATTTATAAATGCTGCTGAACTAATCCAACATAGATATTTTGATGCCTTGATTTGAAATTTGGATCTAAGGACATGACGCTTTGGAAAGGAGTTTCTTATTTTGTTTTCACAGAGGATGAGACCCTGTTCATTTCTTCTATTCCGATTTGGTATGATGGACCATGCCCTCCTGAAGGGTTGTTGTGAACATCTTCAGAAAATTGCTTCGCTCAACTGCCAACTGAGATGAAACTAGCACACAGGTTATACAATGAAAGACCTAATTAACGACGCCCCCATTCAGCAGGAAGCAGTTTGGAGAGAAAAAAACTGCACCCATGTTCCCAAATATGGTTTATAAACGTTCTTTTACATTTAAAGGGGGATATGATATAGGTATGAATAATTTGCATTAGTATAGATTTTGCTTTATTGATAAAGATTTACGGTCAATTTTGTTATATGTATATGTATTTCTGATCTTTATTAAGGTATTGTGATTGTGTAGTTCATTTAAATATGTACTGTATAATTAAGAAATATAGGTTGTTAATGGATAATCATCGATAATAGTAAAGCTTGCAGTCATGTTAGATTTTCTAGATATATAGAGATATATTTTAGATAGACATTCTTCATGTCTTTCAAAGATTACAGAATAGGACATTTAATGTTTTAATAACTGAGGACTTTTCATGACAATGAGACACTCTGCTCCTGGAAGCACCAATCTACTTCAAGAGGAAGATGGGCATCAAAGAGGCTCGTTATGGAGTTTGATATCCATTTGGGCAAGAAACTGCTCTTGCCTGGACACATAAACTGGACACAGAGAACCCACAGAGAGAGGACTACTGAACTTTCCTAAGGTGAGATGATCTTTCGGGGTTCCTGATTCATGAAAGAGTCTGCGAGACATTCTGCAGGACACAACAGATAGTGACTGAACTGACTTTGAATTTTCCTGCTTTATGGAAATGTCTGCTGGATACCATGGGCCTGAAGGCTGAAGATGGATGCCCCAATGGTACAGAGGAACTTTGGGTGACTGTCCAGGCAGCGAGATGTCTCTGTCATTTCTCGAGTTTTAAAAGTTGCTTTTTTCTTGTTTGCTTAGGTAGTATTGTATCTTTCTGGAGTCTTTGATGGAGTTAAGAATAGTTAGTTATAGTTTTCCTTAGTTATGATAAAGATTATTGTAACTTTTACTTGATAACTGTTTCGTTATATGTAATTTTGCTATGTTAAAGTTAAAGCCTTTTTTTGTTTGTTTGTTTGTTTAAACCGAAAAAGGGGAAATGATGGAGGAAGGTCATTGGTTAAATAAAAAGAAACTGCTTGGCCCTCATTGGTTAGAAGATAGGTGGGAGGAGTAAACAGAACAGAACACTGGGAGGAAGAGGAAGTGAGCTCAGACTCCACAGCTCTCCTCTCGGGAGCAGACGCCTCAGAGAGACGCCATGCTCCCAGCTCCCAGGCAGACGCACACGATGAAGCTCTGACCCAGGATGGACATAGGCTAGAATCTTCCCGGTAAGCGCACCTAGCTGTGCTACCTAGAATATTAGAAATGGGCTAGTCCAGGTGTGAGAGTTAGCCTAGAAGAGGCTAGATAGAAATGGGCCAAGCAGTGTTTAAATTAATACAGTTTGTGTGTTATTTCGGGCTTAAGCTAGCCAGGCAGCTGGGGTGCTGGGGACGCAGCCCCGCCGCCCTTATTACTACACATACATACACACATGAAGACAAAACATTCACATAAAATAACCTTAAAGCTTTCCTGATTGTGCGTGTGTATGCGCCATGGCACGCAGGCAGATGTTAGAGGGCAACTGTAGCAGCAGGCACTCTCTTTCCATGTGGTGGGTTCTGGGGCCTGGTCTCAGACTGTCAGGCTTAGCGACCACTGCCTTTACCTGCCATCTGGTACCAGCCATTGCCCAGTGCCTCCACTTAGGTGTTTGATGTTTTTTTTTTTTTTTTTGGTTTTTCGAGACAGGGTTTCTCTGTGACTTTGGAGCCTGTCCTGGAACTAGCTCTGTAGACCAGGCTGGTCTCGAACTCACAGAGATCCACCTGCCTCTGCCTCCCGAGTGCTGGGATTAAGGTGTTTGATTTTTGAGACAGGGTCTCACTATGAACCTTGGCTAGCCTAGAATTGCCTTCGTATATCAGGGTGGCCTTGAACTCATAGAGACCTATGTCTCTTAGAGGCTGGAATCATGTGCCACAGCTGGGGTAATTTTTAAACAAAGAAAAAAATCTAATTTTTGTGGCACAATTTCTTTGTGGGTCCACTGGACATTCTAAATCACATGCAGACTGTTAGCTTTTTCCTATATCCTGAAACATCTTCTTACTTCACCTTAGGGAACTGTCATTACTCATTCCTATTTACAGTAAAAGGCTAAAATTATTATAATAAAGGAATGAAGGAAAAACCTACTAGAATGAAGCAAACTCACTTGATGACTTCATTCTTAAAAAGTCTCAAAACACCATGTTGGTGGACTTTTACTTAAAACACAGTTGAGCCTTTCATTTTCCACCCATAACAGTCAAGAGAAGAAAACTGACCCAAGGAAGACGCTTTTCAAGATTCAGTCAAAGGGACCAGTGTGAGGGAGGGGTGGTGCCCTAGGCAGATGGCAGTGGATTGTGTGAGAAAACCTGGGACCCCTCATCTTCAGTCCATTACACACGGGAGGATTTTCTAAAGAGCTGATGGGCAAACAAAGCACTTCTCTTAGAGCTAAAAGGAAACATTCTCATTCGGCTGGCCCTTCAACAGGAAGACTGCTTCTGGATAAGAATCTCAACTACTTTGCTGAAAGGACCTACAACAGCACACATCCATCTTTTATGAGGCTTGCACAAAAATTTACTTATTGTTCTTCACCTGTACAAATAAACTTGTCCACAAACATGCACACATCAGCACAACTAGAATAAAACAGAAGATGAGAAATGGAATAAGCTTATTGACGCTTCTTTATGTTATTTGTTCTTTGTCATGTGTGCTTGCACGTGGGCGCACAAGCTCAGAGGCCAGATGTTAACTCCAGGTGTTGCTCATCAGGAGTCTCTCACTGGCTATTCTGAGCTGTGTTGGCCAGCAAATCCAGGTCCCCCCTCTGTCCCGTGAGGATCCAGCCACTGCCACTGCACTTGAGCTTTCACTTGAGTGACAGGGATCAGACTGATGTTCTCATACTTGCAATTTACCAACTAAGTCACCGCCCTAACCCCAATCTTACTGAATATTCTATTTAGTCTCTCTCTTTTTTTGTTATGTGCATTGGTGTTTGGCCTGCATGTATATCTATGTGTGGGTGTCAGGTCTACTAGAACTGGAGTTACAGAAGGGTGTGAACTGCCATGTGGTTGCTGGGAATTGAACCCAGATCCTATGGAAGAGCAGCCAGTGCTCTTAACCACTGAGCCATCTTTCCAACCCTCTAATTGGTGTTTCTTAATCTAGAATCTAGAACCAAAAGTGTTCTCCAGAACAAAACATGAGGCCCTTCTGCGGAATCAAGAATCATCAGTGCTCTCAGCTGGCAGGGATGGCACACACCTTTAGCCCCGGCACTCAGGAAGCAGAGGCAGCCAGATCTGAGTTTGAGGCCAGCTTGGTCTACAGAGTGAGTTCCAGGACAGCCAGGACAGGACTGTTACACAGAGAAATCCGGTCTCAAAAAAACAAAACAAAAAAGGTGGCAACTGGCCCCTGTGCCGAGGTGAGAGGCACCTGCTGCACGGCTCAAAGCACCAAGAGCAGCAACAGAGGGGAGGGTCCCCAGAGAGCCCAGAGCCCGCTACACCCTCAAGTCCAAAACAGATCCCCAAGTGAGTGGATGGAGGGTGAAATCAATAAAGCAACTGAGCAGCACCCTGTCCTGATGCTTTGAGGTCATACCGTAGGGCCCTGGTCAAGTTAACAACGAAAGAAATGAACTCAAGAGAAGTCTGGACTGATAGCTGCCACGTATCCTGTAAGACACACAGATCTCCTCCCTGGAATCACCTGATGGCACCTAAGCTGCCGTGCACTTATTATAATAAATCACCAGGGAGCTCTTCAGGAGGAGAAATCAAGTTTTAGAGAGCACCTTACCAGAGTTCTTGATCCCAAACTAGAGCTTCTCAAAGCCTCAAGCTCTTCGGTCATCTTAGAAGCGAGGGCTTGGAGGTAGCCCCTAGCATCTTTCTCATCGCTGACCCTACACAGGGAACAGGTGTTTGTCTTATGAAGATGAGCAGTTGCTGCCCTCCTCAGGACAATGTCACTGTAGCCCGAGCACTCTACTATTGAGTAGAGACTGGTTCTGCCCCATCTTAGGGTCTCCCTGGTTGTGTGTACATTGGCCCCGGAAGCTCTCCACCCGTGTGTCACCCACAATGAGGAGCATAAACAGCTCACCCCAAGTCCTAAGGGGTCCCCCCCACCCGTAGTCCACTCTGAAGACCACTGCGTCCTAGAGGCAGGGATTCAGGAAAACACAGAGATGCGCTCCAGTGCAGCCAAGGAGCCGCTTTTCACAGGCTGCTGGGCACATACCACTGAATGATCTCTGCGATCTGGGCTTCCCAATGCGCAACGGACTCCTTCTTAGATGCCAGATCCTGCAGCTCGTCTTCCAGCTGTCTATTTTGGGCTGTGAGTTTATCCACAAAGGAACAAAGCTGAAATTAAACAATGTCACCACATCACACGTCTGTCTGGCGCCTCTTCACTACACAGCATGGTGACATCAGAAGCTCTGCCGCTCATCGGCCCTGTGGGGCTTTCACTGTACCTGATCCAAGTCTCAGAGTAACAGAGCCAAGGATGAGCAGCTTCTCAACAATGAAAACATCCCATTTAAAGACCAAATGTATTATTTCATCTAAATATCAAAACATTTAAGACAGGCACCAAGCTTCCAAGAGATCCAAGAAAAAAAAAAAAAATCAACTTCCCCTAAAGGACGGTGAGGACCCAGTCACCTTCTCATTTTCAGCTGTCAGCTTCTTGTTTTCATCCAACAGCATGGCTCTTTCGCGTTCGTACTTATCTTTTACTGTGCCTACTGCCTCCTCCATCTCATTATGCCTGCAGAGGTGAAGGAGAGACTGCCTCACAACACAAGCCTAGAGCGCACAGGAAGCTTCCGTCTCTCGCCTTGAGAGCATAACTCACCGTTCTCGCTTCGACTTCTCTAGTTTATCCTTCAGCATCAGGATTTCCTTCTGCAGGGCCAGCTGGTGGCTTTCTGAATCATGCACCTCCTTTTTCACATTCTTTACTTCTAGCACATGGGAGGCCTCTCGGCGGACCAACTCCTCTTCATAGAACAGGACTTTCTTCTCAAGCTCTGACTTGATTTTGGAGATTTCCTGCTGGTGTTCTAATGTGGCACCTGGCCCCCGGCCTCCTTGCTTCACCTTCAGATAAAGGTTGACATAAACTATCAAATCTATGTCCTCCCTCCCTCAAGGGTGGTGAAGTCTTTTCATTCTTTACCACTAGCAGGGACCTGGAGGTAGAGTGGGGGCAGCACCTGGCTTTGTCCCAGTGCCCTGCTGTTTGCCTATTCGCCCACCAGTCCTCTTGAGTGCTGACTGATTGTCACAAGTCTTCTGGAGACTGGTATGACACTGGGGTCCCTGCTCTCATGGTGACAGTGAACCATTAAGTAAAGAAGAATAATGGCAAGACATAGGATGGGTATGGTGCCACCTTGGCAGGAGACGGTCTTAAGCACAGGGCCAGATAATGGCATAGGCCTGCTGGGGGTGGACAAGACTAGTGGAGAGGAGCTCTGACTCAGGCTGAAGACCAAGTCTAGAGGAGTCCCTGACGGGTCTGTTAAACTCAATGGTTTAGAGGTAAGACACCTCCAGAGAGGTAAGGAGCAGGCAGAAAGAGTTAGTCACACGTAAGCGGTCTAGAAAAGAGTTTGCTGAGAGTTGGGTCGGGTGGTAGCAAAGACAAGAGAGGGCACACGGGCTTGAAGGACAGCACCATCACAACCACAAGAAGGGTACAGAGGCCCAGGCTCTAAAGAGGGAAGTCACTTATCCAAGATCACACTACACTGAGGAGCAGACAGTGGCCCTCACTCATGACTGTCTCTTCTCTTAGCCTTTTTCTGCCCTCTGACCCCATCCGCAGGGCCTAGATAAGGAGCAGCGTGCCTCTGCCATATCAACAACAGAACACGGGTTTAGACATCTTTCCAGAACTGAACATGCCCACGTGCAGGGTGTCAAGATAGGAAGGAGGTGGTGTCTGCTAACTCTGCAATACTGACTACAAACACCTAAAACTTTCATGTGATAAAGAAATGAACTTGGCTTTTATAATGAAGGTTATCACAATCCGTGGCCACATCTTCCACTTCCTCCCATACCTGTTCCTTCCCTGAAGCTGCCCTGGGTGGCACTGACTCAGTCAACATGCCCCACGGCCCACCAGAGAGAAGAGCTACCTTGAGGGCCTCCAGCTCGCTCTCCATCTGCTTGCAGAAGCTCTCGCTGTGCTCGCGCAGCTTTCGTTCTTTGGAGGCTTCGGCAGTTGCATCCTCAAGTTGAGCTTCCAGCTAAGGAAAAGGCAGAACTGCTTTTTATGAACCGCATTGAGAACCTGCCCAAGGAGCAGTCCCCGAGGACCAGGCACAGCGAGGGGCTCATCAGACTCACAAGAGTCAAAGCCTAAGGGACACTTTAATTGGAATGGCCAGCTATGACCATTAGTAATGACACAAGCCTGCACTCTAGTTAAATAGATTAATTTGAGGTTTACATTCAAGAAAAACTCCTTATTTATGGAAACAATCCTGACATGTGAAGGCATAATGGGAGGTGGAAATGGCGGAGGAGTGGATCTGGGGGGAGAGGAACTGGGAGGAGTGGAGGGAGGAGAAACTATTCAGGATGTAACGTATGACAGAAAAAAACAAAAAGAGAAGAAAAAGGAAAAAATGTAGAGGTTTTTTGGTTTTTTTTTTTCCCCATTTTTTTGGGGGGGTTTTCGAGACAGGGTTTTTCTATATAACTTTGGCACCTGTCCTGGTATTCACTCTGTAGACCAGGCTGGCTTCGAACTCACAGAGATCTGCCTGCTTCTGCCTCCCAAGTGCTGGGATTAAAAGCGTGCACCACCACAACCAAGCCCAATTTTTCTTAAGATATTTATTTAATGTGCAACAGTGTTTTGCCTGTATATTATCTGTGTGAGGTTTTCAGACAGTTGTGAGTCACCGTGTAGTTTCTGGGAACTGAACCCAGGGCCTCTGGAAGTGCAGCCAGTGCTCTTAATTGCTGAGCCATCTCTCCAGCTCTGAATGTAGAGTTTCATTTGATCAGAAAGTAAACCTTGACCAAACATTTTCAACACCACCTAATAAAGTGTTCTTCTCTGTCTTAAAAAAAAATTAAACTTGTAATTCAGTTCTTAAATAAAAAATTCAAATATCCTCAAGAGGAACGAAAACCCACATGCCCATGAGCCAGCTTTGACAGGGGACAATTAGCTAAGGAGCAAACTTGTTTTGCCTGTATGTCTCTAGTCTCAGGTTGTTTGACAACAGCCAGGCAGCTTGTCATTTCATCCTTAATCCTTATGAGTTTCTCCACCTTGAGCTATAATTGGCTACCACTGCAATTATGTCTGGGTTATAAAATAAACTAAGAAATCAAATAGGTATTTGGGACTGCCAGTCCGAAAGTGAAGAAATTAGATCATGCACGGCTAGGCAGTCTATGCTCACGATCCATCAAATCCATTTAACAGAACTTAAAACCAAGCATCGCTTAGAGTACGGCAACTGTAAATAGTGGGGCACCAGCTACCCAGGGCAGCAGCATGCCACGTAGGGACCGAGGAGGACACCCAAGTCCCGAGACACCATCAGAAGACCAAAGTTCTTACTTTTTCAAGTACCTAGCATTAGGAATTTTTATGTATTTTACTCAAATTCTTAAAAACCGGAAGGCAGTTGTCCTTCAATCCCTGGCATCCACACAGTGGAAGGAGGAAACCGACTCCTCCAAGCAGTCCTCCGGCCTCCACCTGCACATGAAGGCACAAGCGCATCCACGCTCACACTGAACAATAAGTGAAGAGAAAGGTACCTCCTTCCTAAACTTCTCAGATTTGCGGATATCCTGCCGCATGGAGTCAATCTTCTGCATGGCCACCTCCATCTCCTCCTCTTTGTCACGGAGTTGGCGGGACACCTTCTGCTTCTGGGACCTGAGCTCGGCCATGCGCTCATTGAGCTCTGAAAACTCCTGCAGGGCCCGCTTTCGCTGCTGATGGGCATCTTTGAGTTCTTTGGTCTGGGATTTCAATCGCTCTGAAGCTTCAACCAATTGCTGAATGAAAAGAATTCTGTAAGTTTTACATCTACTTAACAAAGACCTAGAAACCCAAGAGTCGTGTTGTAGCAAAGTGAAAAGTGATTCAGGGCCAGTCAGTTTATAGCCAGGGTTTGGAACCAGCTCTCAGGAACAGGCTGCCCCCCACGGAGTGGGGACCTAACTGTTGTGGTAAGCAAGCACCTGAGCCAGTGTATTTCCTTCAGGCTACGCATGTGAAAGGAACAAGGCCTCCTCACACAGACAGTCTGTGCTACCTTGTGCAATTCTTCCTTCTCCTGCCGCACCAGGCGGTACTGCTTCTCCAGGCCTTTCAGCCGGTGTGTGGAGTCCTCATGCTCCTGGCGCAGTGTCACTGTGTCCTCAAGCTGTCGCTCAAGCCTGTTTGAATCTGGGCAGAAGAGAAGTGAATTTGTTCCTTTGTGGACAGTGACTTTATGTTAGTTCACTAACTGACTTGAAATCATCTGGTAATTCACAAATAAAGCTTTTTTTTCCACTGGTTTCAATTTATTTATTTTATATGTATGTCTGTGTAGTGTGTGCCCATGTGCATGTCACAGTGAGGGTGTGGGGGTCAGAGGCCAGCAGGGACTGAACACTAACAAGCACCCACTGCACCATCCTGCCAGCCTCACAATGTCTTCAGTCAGAAGCCCTATATCCCCACACGGTGTCAGCTATCCATACACTGTAGGCTTCCTGGTGTTTAGTCTAAACATTTCTAGTCTGCTTATGTTTTATGCTGGAGACTTTCTCTTCAAAGACGTGCCTCAATCCCTCTGTCATCCCAGATTGCTGGCCCTTTCTCAGGGTGTAAGGTAATAAGATTACTTAGTGATGGTGGGGTCTGATAGAGATGGAAAGCACACACTCCAGATGTAACTAGAGATGGGGGCTGACCAAGAGCCTGCCCAAGTGTGGCTTAGGGATATGGTTCACAAGTGATCTGATGACCAAGACTAAGACAGAATGTGGATGGTGCTGGAGAGACAACTCGGAAGCTAAGAGCAGTTGCCGTTCTTGCAGAGGACCAGCACCACATGGCAGTTCACAACCACCTGCAACTACAATTCCAAGGAATCTGACACCCTCTTCTGGCCTCCACAGGGACCAAGCATGCACGCACAAAGTACACATGCATACATGCAGGCAACAAACAAACAAAACCGGAAGAAAGAAAGTAGAGGTGGGAGGTTAAACTCTTATACTTCTGAGGCAACAGCCAGCAGGCAAATTAAGTACAAGAGAAAAACCCGAGTTTACGGAGAATACTACGTTATCAGAACAAGCGAGGTAGGAAAACAATTTCAGACACAGACAACATGCTTCAACTGTGCATAAGCTTGCACAACTTGAGCTTTTCCCTACTTTTTGCCCCTTAGGAAAAAGGATTCTGGAAACAGGAAACTCATACTCAAGAATAAGGATCAAGCAGCAACCAGCTAGAGCCCTTACCTGCCATTTTATTTTTCAAACGCTCAATTTCTTCATTTAGCCTCTTGATTTCTTTGTCCCGGTTGGAGTTGCCCAGGGCCCGCGTGGAACCGTGAAGGGACTGCACAGTCTGGGTGGATTCTAAGGGCGACACCGCACTGAGTGGCCAGCTATGTGTGCAAGGAGGACCCTAGCCACATCAGGCCACTCCAGACACTCACCCTGCAGCTTCCGGCTCAGCTCTAGTTTCTCTTGTTCCAGTCTTCGTATCCTTCGCTCATAAGCCTCCACCTGCAGGCTATTCTCCAGATCACGTTGCACATCTTCATCTTTGGTTAATGTGTTGGACTGCATCATGCTCTTCAGAGAGCCTCGGTCAGAAAAACAGCTGCAAACAGAGCAACAGGCTTTCTAATCTACTGAGAACCGACAATGATTTCATTAGCATTTAGAGTCTTTTTAAAGTGGCAAACAAAATACCTGTGAAAAGATTATTGTGTATGGAACCAAAGTCAGACAAGAGCCTCCTTGCCACAGACGACTAGGTAGGAGTGGGAGCCTGGACAGGACACAACAGGGAGTGGATGCTCACCTGGAACTCACTGCTCACAATCAAGTGGAAAAGCAAAACTATGGTGTTTTGCCTAATGAGCTAGGTTTACAGGGAGGCATAACCCACTGGTCGAAAGACTCACTGGCTCTGCTTTTTACAAGCTGTGCCATGCTAACAATTTAGGGATTATCGTTTTGCCTCGCAGACTCAACAGCACATTGCCTTGCTCTGGCCAAGTGGCTTAGCTGTGAAGAATCGGCTGACTCAAGACCATACTCATGGATGTGGGCTCTTTGCTCTGCTCAGATGGAAGCCAAGGACAGTTCTGGTATCAACAGCCTAATCTTTGGACTGCTACACGAGGTTCTCAGGTCTGCTTAGCTTGTCTCATTCCTATTATGAACCCGATAGTAGGCACTGGGCACATCCCCTTCTGTTATAGACTATAAGAAACCAGCATTTCTGGAGACAGCCTACCACAAACGGAGAGTTCTAAGTTCATCTGTATAAATTGTGTCTTGACAGGCTAGTCACAAGTGTGACCAGCACCCTGTGGGCTGGAATGCACCTGGAACTCTTTTGTGATGAGGTGCCAGTAATCAATGTGGGATCAGACAGGAGATGCACATGCCACATCTCAAGACTCCCTACCAGCCTGAGCAGAGGTGCTCTTCCAGCACAGCCACACTACCGCAGGAGTGTGAACCCAGAAGGTATCCAGTTCTGCAACTCTGCTCAGGAGGAGGAGTGTGTATCACTCTCCTCTCACCTCCCTCTTTGGTTTCTAAAACTGAGGAAGGACGCCCTGTACTACACAACTTGGCCAACAGACAGGTTCACTGGGGACAGAAATGACAGGCACAAACACCAATCTGGTGAACTATCAAATTCATATCAAAGGAGGAATGAGTTCCAGCTCCACTATGGGAACTAGGAGCTGGGGTTGCAGTATTGACAAAGTCAAGCAGTGTGCTCTAAAGGCTTCTTGACTGAGTGTGAGCAGAAACAGCTGTGACCACCACTGGCTTTCACCAGGATAAATCTACCAGCTGACAGCCTATACACAGGAGCCAACCATCACCTGTGGGTCAAGTTCTGTGCCTGTGCCTTCCGTGAGCCTTTAAGAATGCCTTCTACGGGAGGGGGAGAAGGGTGGGAGGAGGGGGAGGGGGAGGGAAATGGGAGGCTGGGAGGAGGCGGAAACTTTTTTTTTTCCTTTTCTCAATAAAAAAAAAAGAATGCCTTCTACATGTCACTTCCCACCCTCTCTCCCCAGCCCCCACACAGGATGGAGCCTGGAACCTCACACATGCTAGTCAAGCGCTGCTACTGAGCTATATTCCCAGTAGTCTTCCCATTTATTTTCATTTTATTATATATGTGTTTTATTATATGTGTATGAATGGTTTGCCTGTATGTTTGCCTATGCACCACCTCCATGCAGTGCCCAAGGGCACCAGAAGAGGTTGTCAAAACCCCTAGGACAGGAGTTAGAGATGGTTGTGAGTTATCCTGTGGGTGTTGGGAATGGAACCCTAGTCGTTTGGAGGAGCAGCCAAGCTTTTAACTGTCGAGCTATCTCTTCAGCCTCAGTTTTTAAATATTTAAGGGTTGTAGAAGAAAAAAAATGTGTGACAGAAAACAGAAGATGCGTATTACACTTGTCTATAGCTTAACGACAGGGACCATTCTGGCAAGTGCTGTGAGGTGATCTTGTGCCAACACCTAGATGTACTTCCCCAGCCTGAGAGCAAATCATGTGCACAACTGAGACGCAATCAGAACTGCAGCGCACACATGGGACCCAAGTGGTTGCTGGCATGGTGGGATGCTATCCACAGAACACATAAACTACACAACACAACAGTGTGTTCTGCAGCTGCCAGCGGAGTCATATGTTAGTGTCAAGCATTTCCACTGAACATACGCATGTACAATGATAATGCACCACCACAAATGGCAGACACTGGCATCGTCAGGCAATGGGATTATCTCAGCCCACTATTCTGTATGTGGTCTGGTGTTGACCACACACTGATGTGGCACATGAGCATATTTGCTAATTTTCCTTTTCAGAAATGCCGGCCGGTGCTGGTGCATACCTACAGTAATCAGCAGAGGACAAAAGACCCTCTGCATCTCTCGTGAGCGCCATCCTCCCAGCCCTATGGCATGAGCAAAAGCTCGAGAGCCCACTCTCAGGCTGTGAAGAGTGATGGGAGCTCGACCCAGCCTTACCTTTCTGTTGTGAATGTGAAGCCGATGAATGGCAAATGCAACCCAGAGAAGCCGGTGTGAGAGCCGGGAGGTAATATTTCCTGCATCAGAACACACATAACACAGATTAAACAATCTCCCTTCACATAAGCAACACATGCCGCCAAAAAGAGTGCAAAAACCTTACTACTGTGGTCACTACTGAGCACCAGCTATGAAAAGCAGCAATAATGTGGGCTGGTAAGATGGCTCACAGGGAGAGGCCTACAGGCCAGGCTTCCTGTGCTTCTGAAGCTTTTATATACATGAAGTAGTCATGGCAACAATGAAGCCGTCACATAATAACGAATCAACACTAAATAAAAAGGTACAAAATATGAAAAAACAAAAGCAAAAGATTTCAGATGTGTGCCATAACAAGAGCGAATTTTTGTCAAAAGAGTAATCCCTCTCTTTTAAAAGCAACACTAAGGACCAAGCTGAAGACTTAAAAATAATTGCCAAATTAAAAAACATTTTTGTTTTTAGACAGATCTTACTGTGTACATCTGGCAGGCCTGGAACTCACTATGTAGACTTGCTGGGATTGAAGGTGTGTGCTTCAGCTACTTTAATTTTTACTTTGTGTGTGTCTGTGTTTATGCCTCATGTATACAGTGCCTGCAAAGACCAAAGAAAGATATTGGAGCCTCTAGAGGTGGAGTGGGGGGCAGCTGTGAGTTGCCTAATATGGGTAATGGGCACAGAATCTGGGTCCCTCTGGAAGAGCACCAGGTAATCTTGACTGCTGAGCCACCTCTCCAGCTCAGCTGTCAAATAGTTTCGAAGATTAGAACAGTTCTGCCACTGACTGACTTGTTAAGCAAACGGTAGCCTGACACTTAGACCCACTGGGAGGCAGCCCAGAGAGGAGAGGACGGGACACTCACAGTGTTTCTCAGCATGTCATCATCCACGTCGAAGTTGGACGTGTCAGAAGGACTGCTCACATCAGGGATGTATGGAGCTTCTAGGTTTCGTATATTTTCCCAATTCAGGCCTTCGAAGAATGCATGTTTTTTAAAGTCCTCTATTCCATTCTGCCCAAGCCGGCGTTCTCTGCTGCATATCAGTCTCTGAATAAGATCCTTTGCTTCTTCAGAGACATCAGTGACATGGGATGGGAACTGAAATCGCTCCTGGGGAGGAAGGGATGGCCAGAGGACATAGTTAGGGAAACCTCAGATGTGCAGACAGTACAGGAAATAATCCTTACTTTACAATTTACCAAATGTAATCCAAAGCTAGGTAATTTTAATTCCACAAAGGCAAACAAGTAAATCATTCCCTTGGGGCCTGTGAGGTGGCTCAATGGGTAAAAGGCACTCACTTGCCTTGCAGCCTGGCAAATGGAGTTTGATCCCTAGAACCCATGTTAACGGAGGAGAGAACTCCACAAAGTTGTCCCCTGGCTTCAATGTGCACTGTGGCACATGTACCCACACGCATGAGAAGAAAATTAATTAAGATAAACTGACTTATCATAGCTGGCTTGTTAACTCCTACCCACAAATGACAATGACAGATTATATTTCTTCCTCTCCAAACGGCAGAGAACGCAGACAAATGTGCTGTGGAGACATGCGGCACAGCCCTCTCAGTGCTGGGCCAACACTGCATCTTGAAAGAAAACAGCCTCAAGAATCCACACTTTACGCTGCAGGAAAACTACAAACCACACACTCCTTAATTGTTGGGGACAAAGAACAGATTAAAACTCCTAACACCTCACATTTGCACCCTGACCAAGAGAACAAGTGTTCAGCTGAATTCCTATGGAAGGGGTTTGTTTAAAAAGAACAGAATAGACACCAACAATGAGAACCATGTACCCGTGTGGTACAGAAATACATACTGAAACACATGAACAGAAGCCCAGTCACACAACGTACCGCAAGTCGCAGGCTGAGAGCTGAGCTGCCAGCTACTCGAGGCGAGTATGCACTGTGTGAAGTCTTTCTAGGAAGTACTTATTTATGAGTTAAGAATCTGCCTCTACTTTGTGTGCTTGTTGTGTGCACCAAAGGTCCACACTGAGGTCTTCCTCAATTACCTTCCACCTTTATTTATCTACTTAGTTTCTGAGAAAGTCTCTCATATAAAACTTAGACCTCACTGATTTGTCTGGACTAGCTGGCTCCAGAATCTGCCTGTCCCTCCATGGGGCGACAGCTGTGCACCTCCACACCTGACTCTCCATGGGGATACAGCTGTGCACCTCCACACCTGACTCTCCATGGGGATACAGCTATGTACCTCCATACCTGACTCTCCATGGGGATACAGCTGTGCACCTCCACACCTGACTCTCCATGGGGATACAGCTGTGCACCTCCACACCTGACTCTCCAAGGGGATACAGCTGTGTACCTCCACACCTGACTCTCCATGGGGATACAGCTGTGTACCTCCACACCTGACTCTCCATGGGGATACAGCTGTGCACCTCCACACCTGACTCTCCACGGGCGACAGCTGTGCACCTCCACACCCGACTCTTCAAGGGGATACAGCTGTGCACCTCCACACCTGACTCTCCAAGGGGATACAACTGTGAACCTCCACAACTGACTCTCCATGGGCGACAGCTGTGCACCTCCACACCTGACTCTCCATGGGGATACAGCTGTGCACATCCACACCTGACTCTCCATGGGGATACAGCTGTACACTTCCACACCTGACTCTCCATGGGGATACAGCTGTGCACTTCCACACCTGACTCTCCATGGGGATACAGCTGTGCACTACCACACCTGACTCTCCATGGGAATACAGCTGTGCATCTCCACACCTGACTCTCCATGGGAATACAGCTGTGCACCTCCACACCTGACTCTCCATGGGAATACAGCTGTGCACTACCACACCTTTTACTTGGTTCTGGGGCTTCAAATCAGGTGTGCACACTACACAGCAAACACTTTACTGATGGAGTTGCCCCCATGCTGAAAAATATTCTAAGTATAGTTTTTACTTTGATTTGCAATGAAATATAAAGCAATTTTTATGTTAATCTTGACCCAACACGAGCAATTAATGGGAGACTGGTTGAAATACAGGTCAACTACATACAACTCAGTTTTCTGGGATGTGTAGGCATATACACACATACATGCCAGGTCGTGTTTGTGTTACAGCAGACAGAAAAAGGAATCCTGCCCATGGATCTCCAGGGCTGGGTGTGCAGTTCTGTGGTAGGTCAGTCAAGTGTGTGCTGTGGGGCTGAGGTGGAGATAGAACAAGGACACAACATCAAATGAAAAATAAAAACCCTGAAAAGGGAAAAAAAGGAACATACTGGGATGGGGAAGGAACGAGGATGCCCTACGTGGAGGTGAGCTCACTCATGACTGTGTCCCAGGTGGCATCTAAAGCCGAAGTGTCTACAAGGACTTCCCAATACGACTCTAGGCTCTAAATGACCACATGGATTGTTCTACACAAGCCTGCATCTCCTCCAAGGAGTCTGGTCAGTCAACACAGGCTCCATTAGGTACACAGTATCTCCTCCTTTCCGTCCCACGCGTGCAGTGTCACCATCTTATGTTGATGACATCACAAACCTCTGCCCACCTCTCCTGTCCCGCCACCCCATCTGGCCTGAACACCATTAGCCTCCACCTCCCCACCAGCCTGTGCAGGCACTAGAACAGCCTCATGGTTCCTCCACTGCTGCCCACCCCGCCAGCCCATGCGGGCACTACAACAGCCTACAGCATCTCACCTCATGGTTCATGATCTTGCCATAGGTTTCCACCAGTGACTCTGCATAAAATGGCGTTTCTCCATACAGCATCTCATACATGCAGACGCCCAGCGACCACCAGTCACACTCAGGTCCATATTTGCCCATGCCATCCTCCATGGCCTGCAGGATCTCTGGTGAGATGTAGTCAGGTGTACCCACAGCCACTGAAGACTGAACCTTGGGAGAAGAAGGGGTGATGAAGGGAAGCCCGACAGCATCGCTAACAACTACACATCTCTATCTGCTTCCCTTAGAACCCTGCAGCTGCAGAAAACAGCAACCGTGACATAAAAGTCCCCAGAGGCAGCAACCCTACACCTTCTGCCCATGCTCCCAGGGTAATCTAAGGGCTCCGTGTCCAGGCCAGCCCTTGACTTTTCTGTCCAACACAAAGCCTAAGGAAAAGCATACGTTGGCTTCTAACAAGCCCCCAGGGGCTATGACTTCCTAGCACAGCCCACCCTGAGTACCCAGAGAGAAAACAGGTAAGTTGGCCCAGCACCAACTGTGTTCCCAAGAGAGTCTCTGCTCAGGGGCCTGAGAGGGCCCACAAAGAGATCAGTTCCCCACAGCCCACATCAGCAGGCACATGCCTGCAGCGGAGGCACTCGAGCAGTGCTGTATTAGGAAGAGCCAACCACCACAGAAAAGCAGAAGAGGATGAGATACACAGATGGGATAAAAGCAGGGCAGGAATGGGGCAGTGGTCACAGGCCCATTGAAGAAGAGACTAGACTCTCTAAGGTCCCCTTTGGAAAGAGGGTCTGGGGGGTAAGCAGTGTAAGAGGTGCTACTCAGTGGACAGACAGCAGGGGTCTGCCTGGCACTTTTCAGCACAGCAGCCTGCAGTGGTCGTAAGTAGTAAGGGCGGCAGCGGTGAGTAAATGTCCACTGTGGTAGATGGCAATGTAAATGCACCTACGGACACTGTGCTCTCATTACCAGAATAGATTTGACCACAGCACCAACCTACCAACAAGTTAACATGGAGGTTAAAATTTACAAAAAAAAAAAAAAAAAAAAAGCACAGGGCAGTGGAGGAGAGTACAAACAGTTCCACGCCTGTGCAGCACGGTGAGCTGGAGCCCCATGGGCAGTGCAGCACGGTGAGCTGGAGCCCCATGGTCTGTGCAGCATGGTCAGCTGGTGTCTGCACATAGATGTCCCAAAATATACTGGCAGGAACTGTCTGGGACTCCTTTTTAGTGCAGGATTTAAAGGGTCAGAACCTCCTGTATGGGACTGCAAGGGCTGCTGCAGTCATAGGAAAGAATGCGATGACAAAGAGGGCGGGGAGCTGGCCAGCGAGGTAAGACACACCAACTACTCACAGGCCACCTAGCTGCAGTGTTGATTTGACCTGAGGTACCAGGTGAACCAGGCACTCTCCTGTCCCACATCTGGGGCTCACAGCACTCTGCACTAAGGAACCCGGTTTTTAGGCCTGCAATAACTACAAGAGAAAGCTGAGCTTGCAGAAAGCTGCCTGGAGCTGGCCCTCCAAGACGGAGAGGGCTTCTCAAAGGGGGGAAGGGCTGCTCTCACTTGCTGCAGTGTAGCTTACAGTCACCCAGGGCTCTGAGGAGCCTGACAAATCCCCAATGGCACCCATATGTCATCGCAAAAACAGAAAAGAAGGGCTGGAAGAGTCTAGTCAATAAACTGGACTTCTTCAAGATCCCTTACAAGATGAGAATCTTTTTTTTTATTTTTTTTATTTTTATTTTTTTTTAAATATTTATTTATTACGTATACAATATTCTGTCTGTGTGTATGTCTGCAGGCCAGAAGAGGGCACCAGACCTCATTCCAGATGGTTGTGAGCCACCATGTGGTTGCTGGGAATTGAACTCAGGACCTTTGGAAGAGCAGGCAATGCTCTTAACCACTGAGCCATCTCTCCAGCCCCACAAGATGAGAATCTTGTGTGCTATCGTCATAACCCACACTGTTAAAGGAAGCTGGCAGTAGGGGTGGGGTAGCACGATGGCACACCATTATAAACCCAGTGCTGGGGAGGGAGGACAGGCAGGCCCCAGGACCACTGAGCCTGTGAGTTCCAGGTCAGTGAGGGACTCTGCCTGAGGAATTTATCCCAGGCTGGCCTCTGGCCTCCAGATGCACACATGCGCATGCACACCTGTACACTCATGCACACAAATCTGCACACAGCATGTACACACATATATGATTTTCAAACTTTAAAAATTTCTCAAATAGAAAATTTCAATTGTCTTCTAAACAGATTCATTTTCTTAATTTACATTCAAAAACTGGATTTTCTTAATTTTATGTCAAACTGAACACTTAGTCCCCTTTTAACTACAAGTCAAACTCAAAAGCAAATGGCAATCTTCAACAAAAATACCTACAGTTCCATCATCATTCATCTTCAAACACGATCCAAAGTCAGCCAGCCGGATATGACCATTCACATCCAAAAGGACATTGTCAGGCTTAATGTCTCTGTTGGTGAAATAAGCAGAGTAAGTTAACTGTCCCAGCGGGCTCACAGGGAACCGTGGTCGCCCAAGAGCAGCCATAACCAAGCAGAGCAACTGGAGCAGCACCAGCAGAGTTGTCACAGATGCCAACCCCTCCCCCAGCAGCACTGCAACTCCTGTCACCCGCCACCTACTAAGGTTCCCGAGTATCCACTGCCTTCCTGAAGGGGCTCATCAGCACAGGGCCAGAAAATAACATGGCACCACGCTTGGAGAAATAGAAACGGAGACCAAGGGACAAGCAGCATGGAGGGAGATGAGCAGTAGCTACCAGGAGGGATCCGTATCAGAAGAAGTAATGGAGTCAGGGAAGAGGTGGGCACAACTGTTTGCAGGCTAACAAGCTGCTCTGCACACTGAAGCTGAGTAGCCTGTAGCAAATGGCACAGTCACACAGCCAAGGAAGACACTCAAAGCCCACACTGTCAACTGCCTATGCCCAAATGCTGGGCTGAAGCATATTCACAGCCCTGAGAATATAGTCATTACAGACTACCCTGAAAGCAAGAGAACACGTCCACCAAAGTCACGCTCAAGTCTGTTTGCAGCAGCACCACACACAACAGACAAAACATGTCCAGCATCAACTGCATGAGTGTGTGTGCAGGAGTGCGTGTGCAGGAGCGCGTGTGCAGAGCGCGTGTGCAGAGCGCGTGTGCAAGAGTGCGTGTGCAGGCTGCAGTGCAGCCACACGGCCACGGGGGGGCGGGGCACAGGGCAACAGGGATTCTGCCACAAAACCACAAGTCAGAAACAGGAGAAAACTAGCACAGCACTTGAACCTGAAATAAACACCCTCACACAGACGTGAAAGGGAAAAGAAAGGTCAGGTGTGGCACACTCAGAAAGGCAAAGCTAGAGGTCAGCCTGGGCTGCAATGGGAGACTAGAAAAAGAAGGAAAGGTGGGGGAGATATGACATAAAAAAAGGAACAGCAGGGAAACCAAAATGCCAGAATGGAAAAACACTAGGAAAAAACAAAACCAGGAAGAGGATTTAATTAAAGGAAGAAACAGGAGAAAAAGATAATCTGTAACCTCAAATGAAGACTAATTTACAAGATGCTTAAGGGAAAGTGAGTTTAAATCAAACCTAATGGAAGCACTGAGGGAAGGAACCTAGACAACACACCAGAGTTAGACTAAGGAGCTGGAGACTGACTGAGATGGGAGCCCACAAAGGAACCCAACAGACATAAGGAAACCAGATAATAAAACACGGTTTCCATCTGAAATAGAACCCAAAAACATTCCACATCCTTGTAAGCTCAGGGTTAGAGAGGCTGTAGCAAAAGGATCAAGTTCCAGGCTATCTTGTTGGCAAGATATCACCTCAAAAACAAAAAGAAACAATTTTTATATATGGTATGGTTCAGTATATATAATTAAAAACAGGCAAAGCTAATTTTCATTTCCAAGGCTCTTTTAATATTGTAGTCTCTTGCCACAAAAGGCCACTCAAATTAACTAATTAAAAACCCAGGACCCAGAGAGATGCTCCGTGGGTAAATGTAATGGCCATCAAGTCGAGAACCTAAGTTTGATACCTGGGACTCCTGCAGTTTGTCCTCTACCCTCCTTACATGCATGTGCCTACATTCATACCAACACACACAAATGTAACCAAGTAATTATGGCAATGGCTTAAGGGATGTCTTGGCTAGGACCAAGTATCACAAGTTAGATACAGAACCTGCTGACATGAATGCCACCACTAATCCTGGGGCCTCAGGCTCTTGCTACAGAAGACTAGTTAGTCAGTGCTGTGCTGTCTCCTTTCCTTAGCTGTGTGGTGTTATCTACCCATCTAAAACTAAATTCCCGTTCCTGTTCACCAGCAGAGAAAAAGAAAAAAAATCTGACAAAACCCCCCTGTATTCTGAAAGCCTTTCCTTCCCATGAGCGATCAAGACAGTCCCAGTCCCAAAGCAGTATGGGTGTTCAGTGCACCCAGGTCAGGCTTCCATCGCCAGGCTGCACCAGGCAGCTGCACAAGAGGACACCTGACTAGCACTTCTGAGAGTTTCTTCTGCTTTATCTTCTACCCTGCTTTCTGTCCCCCTCATTTGAGTTTTTCGAGGCTCCTTTTGCCCTCTGGATGCCCACTTACTAACTTGCAGCTGATCTGCATCAACATGTCTGTGAAACACGCCCTGTTTTCTCTGGGCATACACACTGTTCTCGCCGTAATCCTCTGTGCACCTCTCACTGTCTTTGGTTTCAGGTCCCTAGAAGCTGACTTCTCAGGAAGGGGCTGCATACATGGGCCTGAGTGCTTCTGGGTCCTAGATTTGTCACTTGTTTCCTTGAGCACCAGGCAGAGGCTGTGAAGTTTGCAGAAGTCCAGCTGTGAAGAAGGGGTCAGTGCACAGAGCCATCTCAGCCCACAGAGCAGCGGTTCTCTACCTTCCTAACACTGCGACCCTTTAATACAGTTCCTCGTGTTGTGGTGACCCCCAACCATAAAATTATTTCATTGCTACATCAAAACTGTAATTGTTCTATTGTTAAGAATCATAATTAAATGACCCTGAGAAAAGGTCATTTGAGCCCCAGCCATAGCAAAGAAGAAAGGAGCCCAATTGTGGCCTATGCTTGAGCTCTGCTGTTGAGTTCACCACAGCACAATGCCATTTGTGCACCCCAGAGACTCACTTCTGACACTGCCAAATGTAGCAAGCACACCTACCTGAGGCTGGACAGCATTGACTCTTGCTGTGCTATGTTTTAGGTGGGCCATCTACATACAATCTGAATTGAGTTTGTTTGAGAAGAATAAACGTTTTTGAATTATAAAGTCTTACTCAGTCAAATGACTGAGGAAGGGCTGGAGAGATGTCCAGGTGTGGTTCCTAGCTTTCACACCAAGCAGCTCCGTCACCTGTAACTCCAGCACCTGGGGATCTGATGCCTTCTTCTGACCTCCATGAGCATGTCACACATACAGACAAGCAGGAAAATATATGTACACACACTGATAAAAAAAACAAACAAAATTTAAAAAATAAAAGAAAGGAGTTTTCTAAATAGGAGAAAAAAGGGAAAAAATAAGCTATTTAAAATAGAACCTAATTTGGGCTGGAGAGATGGGTCAGCAGTTAAAGAACACTGGCTGGTTTTTCAGAGCACCTGGGTTCAACTCCCAGTTGCCAAATGGCAGCTCACAAGTATCTGTAACTCAGTTTCAGGGGATCTGGTACCCTCACACAGACATGCATGCAGGCAAAACACCAGTGCACATTAAATAAATAAATAAAATATAACCTAATATCCTAAGAGGCCCGTGACAAAGATATTTCTGTCTGTATTATGAAGCTGGCAAAGTTTTGTCACAGAGACAAAATCTAAATGTTATGAACCAAAACAGGGCTAGTGTGATGGCTTGGGGGTGAAGCCTGGTGATCTGAGTTCTATCCTGGAACCCATATTAAGAGTAGAAGGGGAGAATTAATTCTCCAATCTCCATACATGTATCGAACACACATGGCCACTTGTCTCTCCCCCCCCCCCCACAGCATTTGAGAGCTGGTTCAGTGATTAAGAACACTTGTTGCTCTTCTAGAGGGCCCAAGTTTGGTTCCCAGTCCAAGCTGGGCAGCTCATAGCACCTGGCCTCTGCAGGCTTCCATATATACAGTTGTGCTCACGTACATACATACATACACACACACGCACATACATACACACAGATACATATACATACACGTATGTATGCATTTTAAAAAGAAAAACTGAACTGCAATAGCCAGACCTGGTAGCATGCATACCTATGATCCCAGCTACTCAGGAAGACAACAAGTACAAGACCTGCCTGGGCAACTGGTGGAAACTGTCTCATGAAAAAAGGGCCACGTGTGGAGTCACTCAGTGGTAGAATGTGAAGTTCTAGGTTTGATCCTCAGTAGGGAAATATGAACAGTAATCTAAGAACTGCAACAAGCTAGAGAAGCAGGCATACCCAATAAAGAGCATGGGGGACGGGGCACTGACAAACGCTCTCTGAGCTACAGGGAGCACTGTATACTCTGTGGTCCCCAGGGGGTGAATGCCACCTAGCTGGGCCCTGCTGCATTCCCTGGTAATGAAGCTGCACTCTGTGAAATGGAAAAGTCCTTCCTTCCACAGTGGGTGCTGTGTTCCCTTAGGGAGCCTCCTCGCAGAGGCCTGAGGCAGCTGGGTGGAGAGCAGCGCCAGTGTGTGCCCAGTTCACACAAGGCCCTGGATCCCCAGAAACACATAATGAGCAGAGAACATATCCACACCACTGAGACATCTCTGCAGAGTTTTGGGGATTAGGAAAACAGAGAAGCAGCAATGTCAAAAATCTCAGGAAGTGACATGCAGCTTGACGTGCTCCCTGGGTGAAAGTTACCACCTCAAGTCCCTTCTCAAGGAACTACCACAGGAAAGAATGAGCCCAGGGGAGCAAAGACTGCAGATGACAGAGTAGAGGAGACACACCTCCCTACTGTACAAAGCTAAAGCACAGCATGGTCTATGGGACTCATGACAGAGCCTCAGAGAAGTATGGAGGAAAACATTCATTCCAGAGAAAATTATAGTTTGGAGCCAACAAGATGGCTGAGTGGGTAAAGTTGCTTGCTGCAAGGTTTGATGAGCTGAGTTCAATCCTTAGACAGGGAAGGAGAAAACATTGCTAGATAGTTGTCTTCTGATTCCCACAGCACAAGTACCTCTCCTGTCAGGGACCAGCCTTGACAAAAACACCACTTACCAGGGCAGGGACGTGGGGATTTAGAAATATAAGTAACAAACACAAAGATACATAAAAAATAATACAGCAGAAACCACAGAACAGTACCAGGAGGGCGTTTTAGTGAATACTGAAACCGCCTGTGTCTAATCTTCCACACACTTTTATACCCAACACAAAATGGGGAAGAAGGCAGCAAAAGGCTTCTTTAACGTGACACAAAGGACAACTCAAACAGTTGATCGCTTTAACACTTTGAGACATCAAGTCATTGGCAATCTGCTGTTTAGGCAGTGAAGTCACCCTTGACCAAGTATCTCGAAGGCAGCCATTTCCCATATTACAAAAGGAAGAATAGAAGTACATCCTGTCAGGAAGGAACGGGTCTACTTTATGGGCCATCTTAATGTCTAAAGAACCAAGTAAACACATCTGGAGTCAGGACTGTCAACCTTTGTCACTTGACAACCTTGACCATCAGACAAGGTAGAAATAGGCTCATATTTCTGGGTCTCCACAATGCCTCCCTTTTTATTAATTTTAATAAAGTCTGTGCCTCTGTAACAGGACAGATGACTGAGTCTGCCTTAGGTAAATACTCTCCCTAAAACAAACAAATAAATCTAACAATAAAACAAAATTTTAAGATATATACACTTTGGGCTAGGGAGATGGCTCAGTGGTTAAGAGTACCTGCTCCATAAGTTTCAGGGCATGAGTTCAAATCCCCAGCACCAATGTAGAGAGCTGGGTGTAGCTACCTGTATCTGTAACCCCAACACTGGGGACAGAGAGTGGCTGCCCAGCACATGAAACAGCAAGCTCCAGTGTAGTGAGAGACCCTGTCTCAAGGCAGTGAGGTGTGTGTAAGTGTTTATGCTCACTCAAACAGACATAAGAAAAAAAAATCAATAAAATAAAAACAAAGGGATTTTAGAGGCTGAAGAGACAGCTCAGTGGTTAAGCACTTGGTGTTCTCCAGAGGACAGAAGTTTGGTTCCCAGGACCCACCGTAGGCAGCTTGTGACTACTCGAAACTCTAGCAATCTGACACCCCTTCTGCATTTTTCAGCACTCACAAAAGTGGCGCACACACAAACACAAATCCTCTTTTTAAAAAATGTCCTCTTTCATCCATCACAAGCTGTAATAGTCAGAGACATTTCACAGATTCTCCCAGATGTTATTTTCTAACTGGGGCAGGGGTCCTACGGGAATGCACCTGCAGCCGAAGCACCGTTCTTCTGGCCTTTCCCCCGGCTGTGACAGAAACACCTATGCTTTAGTCCTCTCCTTCCCTGAGAGGGCGTCATGGGCCAGTATGGACAGAGGAGGGCATGGAGGTGCAGTGGGATGGAACTACGTGAGTGCCAGTAGGGATGGGCTCTGTAAATGGACCCCTAAAAGCCCAGGTGCCTCAGCTGTTGGGAATCAGGACATCACAACTGGACTGGATGCTGCAGGCTAAGGGTGACAGGGACAAACCACCCTATGCTGACACTCAGTCGCTCAGTGAGTACTTGTCAACAGGGGGCCTGGATTCCTCAGGGGTCCTGGAACCTGAAGCCCAAGACCAGGAACAGGATCCTAGTGAAAATGAGAATTTTAATGTTTAATGTAGTATTCATAAATGTCATGAAAAGGTGGTTACCTGTGCACGTAGTGAAGCTGATGGATCGAATCAATGGCCAACACCATTTCACCAATGTAGAACCTTGCCATGTCTTCTGGAAGCTTGTCTTCAAATTTACTCAGCAGGGTCAACAAATCACCGCCCACATAGTAATCCATAACCAAGTACTACAAATTAAAAAGAGAGAATACAGTTCTTAACCTCAGGCCAGCCTCCTGCCCCAGGCTCTAGGGCGCTAGGATTACAGGTACATGCCCTGATCCTCTCTCTCAGAAAACACCCTGTTGTCTGTGGTTCTGCAGCAATCCAAATGCACATGGCAGAGAGGAGAGTTCACTGAACAACACAGCTCATTGGTGAAGAAGAGCTGAAGGCGTCGCTCACGGAGAAAGCCCATCAAGAGCCAGGGATCTGAAGCAGGAGCTCAGTCCATAAACAGACTATCCAGCTCTGTGGGGGTGAGTCCTCCAGGTCCTTGAGTCACAAGAGGACGCTGATCAGAGAGGGAAGTGGGCTATCTAAAATCACAGACCAGCAGCTCTTGTTGAAAAGATAACGCCATCAGAGAGCAGGAAAGGAGGTACTTTCAGCCAAAGGCAGGCCAGACAGCTACTGCTGTATGGGGAAAATGTCTTCTGTTAACGAACTGAGTGCTTCTCTTCGCTTGTGCAGGCCTGAGGCCAGTGTGCCGGGTACACAGTATGCTTGCACAAACACGCTGCTTGGTAACAGCTTCTCCCATGCAACACTCAGAGGCTCATGCCAGGAAACCCCAGAGCTGCAGAGGCCCTAATGGAAGCATCTCATTGCAGCAGAGAGGTTTGGGATAGGTGGATCACTGCAGGCCACCCCACAGCTCCACTACTGGGGACTATTCAGCCTCTGGGACACACAGAAAAACAGGCAGTCTCATCTCCATGTCAACATAACTTTTAAGTCACCACCATAGTAAGGAATTACCATGGTCTGGTTAACTGAGCCAGGGAAATCATCTTTTAACAAATATAGAGATATAATACAGGAACAACATTACTCTGTGTGACAACTGCACTCTGTGCCTTCAGCTACCTGAGCTAGACTTCGGAGCCTACCCTGAAACTAGCTAGCTTTTGTAGACCAGGCTGGCCTCGAACTCACAGAGAACTGGTTTTCTTTTTTTTTTCTTTTCTTTTCTTTTTTTTTTTTTTTTTTTTTTTTTGAGACAGGGTTTCTCTGTGGCTTTGGAGCCTGTCCTGGAACTAGCTCTGTAGACCAGGTTGGTCTCGAACTCACAGAGATCCGCCTGCCTCTGCCTCCCAAGTGCTGGGATTAAAGGCATGCGCCACCATCGCCCGGCTACTCACAGAGATCTGCCTCAGGCCCACAATCTTAACAGTAAAGGAAGCATGCTGTATGGAAGGAGGTGATCACTATGCCACCATCTGAGAGAGCACCCTGTCTCAGATTGTAACCAACAGCCTTCACCCTACTCCCAAAATTCCCCTTAAGTGTCCGCTCCTCTATAAAGCCTTCCTTCCTCCTGTGTCCCCACTGTGAATGCCATCTCAGCCTGCTTCCCAACTACTTCTGCACCAGCAGGTCTCCTGTCTACTGCACCCCACTCAGCTCCGCTGCACACAGCCTTCTGGTGGACATGCACTAAATTATCCATTTTATCACGCAGTACCTCTGCCCCGCCTGAACAGTCAGCCTGTTAGTACCCTTGGGAGGCAGGGCTTGGAGTGCAGAAAATGGAAAATGTCCTTGCTCAGCAGGTTCATGTTACTAAAGGAAGACCACAGCAAGCACAGAGAGCAATGGAAGGCCAGAAAACAAGCCTGTCTGGCACAGCCACATGACCAGAAGCTACTGAGCAAGGCTGTGGGGCATCTAACAGCCGGGGGTGTGTAAAGAGGCCAGGAGGGGAAGAGATGGATGTGGCAGTTGGAGCAATGGCAGGACAGAGACAGCAAGACCTGAGCCTAGGTGCAGTGAGAAAGGAAGCCAGAGCTTGCAGCAAGAGGTCAGCAGCTATGGTGGGGACCACTGGGACTGTGAGGCCATTCAGACAGGCAAGGCGTCATGTGTGGAGGGATGGTGGGGATTGGACAATTTAGAAACCTGGAGGAAAGAAGTCAGCAGCTGCTGAAGGACATTCTTGGAGGACCGGGGACAGCATCCCTTAGGAGAGCACAGGGTGAGCCATCAGTGTGCTCCCAGATGTGGCACATCTCAACACGGCCAGCAAAGGCATGCAGCAGCATCTCCCATATCTGCCTCCTCCTCTCCCTTACGACAACACAGTCCCTATTCCAACAAGTCCTCTGTGCTCTGGCTCATCCTAGATGGTAACCCAAGAACTGGCATCTCCACGGGAGATTCCTAAGTGATATGTGTGAGAGTAGAACACCCCTGGCAATGCCTGTCTCACACTTCACACACCATCACACTACTCATTTGAGGGATTAAAATAACAAAAAACCAGCCAGGCGGTGGTGGCGCACGCCTTTAATCCCAGCACTCGGGAGGCAGAGGCAGGCGGATCTCTGTGAGTTCGAGGCCAGCCTGGTCTACAAAGGGAGTTCCAGGACAGGCTCCAAAGCTACAGAGAAACCCTGTCTCAGAAAAAAAAAAAAAAAAAAACAAAAAAAAACAAAAAAAAAACCTGTCATCTACTGAACAGACCCATGGTGCCTAAGAGTCCCCAGAAAGTCAAATCAGAAGAGTAAGAAGAGCTCTAGAGGATGCCTACCTGAATGCTCGGGCAGAAACTCATCAGACACTGAGGAACAGTAACCACCTGTCCCAGAAAACCAGAGCAGGGACCCTGACATGGCTGCTGTCATCTGTATAAAGACTGTGAGCTCACAGCCACACACTCTGTACCCCAGACACCCAGTTATAAAAAGATGGTATTCACAAAGGCTTATATCATAGTCATTGAGAAGGCTGACCGTGGCCTAATGTATCTTGAGGTTTTCATCAGATACCAGCTGCCATCTGCTGGGACAAAATAAACCTCTCTAAATAAATGATACACTATACACCATTTACCACATCCTGGTTGTTCAAACCTCAGAGATTTTTGTTGTCTGAGAGAGATTGTTCTAAAATGAACAAAAATTTTTGGCAAACAGACACTTGACCAAGGAGCTTCACAGGGCAAACATAGAAGGCCTCAGATCCCCACTTGGAGGCTGGGAGACAACAGTGATTACACCCTGGTTCAGTCATTGTTGAGGCAAAAGCACTGAGCAGAGGGAGGTAAGCATGGCCCTGCTTCTCTGCAGTCCCCAGAGGCCATTTGGAAACAGTCTCAAGTCTGCTGGCTTAGGGCATCTGGAAAGTCACCCAAGACTGGAACCCTATACAAGGCAGCCTGAGGCCTGGAGTGTTTCACAGCGGCCCACACTCAAACCCACATGTGTGGACCACAAAGCTGACTCAAGAGCAGAGACACCCTGAGGAGACCCACCAAGGCACTCACGCCCCTGGAGACGCACCCGAGGAAGGAGCCGTGCAGTACAGAGCTGGGGCTCACGGTCTCATGTGCTGCTGCTTCCCTCAGACTCCTGACCACTGCCTGTCAGCCCTCACATTACTGGGACCCAGGTGTGTTACCATGCAGCCGAGTTTCTTATAGTTATACATGATGCAAAACAGAAAAGAAGAAACAAAAATAGTGTTTCACACGCTTAAAATGTTTTAAGAACCAAGCCATGCAGCAAAATAGTGGCTTGAGAAAAAATGATGTACAAACTTTGAAAAACCTGGTTTTTAAAGATTCTACCCTAGGGCTATGACACTGAAATAAAGCCCTCAGTTTTATGCAGGCTAGCATGTACTCGACGAGGTCCACGCTACACTGTCTTCCTCTGAGTGGCAGCAAGGAGGAGCCATACTGTTGGGAAGAGTCCAGGCAGGTGTGTGCCCAGCACCCAGGCCTACCAGGTAGTTCTCATCCTGAAAGGCATAGTGCAGCGCAGTGATCCACTGGCAGTCGCCGTTCACCAGCACGTCGCGTTCTTCTCGGAAACACGCAGTCTGTGAGGGGAGAGGGGACAGTCAGTCTGCGCTCTTCTGGAGGCTGCTGTAACCCTTAAATACAGTTCCTCATGTTATGGTGACCCCAACCATAAAAATTATTTTCATTGCTACTTCATAACTGTAATTTTACTACTGTTATGAATTGTAACGTAAACATCTGTGTTTTCTGATGGTCTTAGAGACTCCTATAAAAGAATCATTTAACTTCCCAAAGGGATCATGACCTAAAGGTTGAGTACCACTGATTTAGGAAAATATCTCATAGAACATATTCCCAAATACTAGACTTGGTTGTGACCATGATCTGCAGACAGTAGCCCCATTCCTCCTGACTGCCTGGAGCCTGATCTCTTTACCTCACCCAGAACCAAAGGCACCACTGTTCCCAGTGACTGTATCTGCACTTTTCCTCATCTGAGCCCTGGGCAAGGGCAGGGATCGTGGAAAACACAAATGCCTTCGCCTTCCCCAGTGACTATCTCTGTGGTCCACACCTTAAGGTCACCCTGATGTGATGCGTGGATTCAGCAGTAGTTCTCAACAGCACACCCCCCCCCCCGCATCCTTACAGCCTCTACCAACAGTCTCTTCACATGCCACAGACGTGCAATACACAGGGTGCCCAAATGCACACCTTCTGAGCGCATGGCTGGCAAGATGGGGACAAGCCCAGTTCCTGATATGAAATACTGTATATTCAATCGGTGGACTAACAGTCACGACCAGGTGACACTCCTGGTGGCCATGGACACACAGGTAAAAGGCTTTTGGCCTGAATGGTTAAAAAAGAGCCACGCATGTGCTCACACACGACACACACAGTCTTTTCTGAGTGGCTAGTTAAACTGAAGCTGTGTGATCAATCAAACTTAATCAGCTGTAGCAACTCTTAAATCGGCTCTTTCACTACAGCACTGGGCCCAGACCACACACCTTCCACCTCCCACACTTATGGAGCACCAGCTGCTTCTCCCCCTCAACTGCTTCAGTGATTCCCTTGTTTGTCAAAGTGAGCTTGTTTGTGTTCTTGTCAACTTGACAGCAGCTGGAGTCTGGGAAGGACCCTCCACTGAGGGCCGCCTCTATCAGACTGGCCTGATACACAGACAAACCTGTGGGGAATTTTCTTGATTAATGATTGATGCGAGAGGTTCCATCTCACTATGGGCAGTGCCAATGTTGGGCAGGTTGTCCTGAGTTGTGTAAGAAAACAGGCTGAGCAAACAATGGAGAGCAAGCCAGTGTACAGCGATCCTCCATGGTTTCCCTTCAGTTCCTGCCCTGACTTCCTCCAATGACGGACAGGAAACGATAGCCAAACAAAGTCTTCCCTCCCTAAGCTGATTTGGTCAGTGTTTTATCACAGCAAAAGAAGGCAACTGTGACACAAATATGTGAAGACAGAAAACACACTGAGAGAATGGAAGGAAGTCACTGTGTACCACTCCAAGGCTGGGGATGCAGGTGGCTAAGGCAGTCATGGGGCAACCAGGTGACAAAAAGAAATGGTGACAACTCAGTCAACCCACATGCACTTCCTGAGCAACAGAGAGGGTATGGTCTTATGTGTGGAGCTACATCAGAAAGAGGAAATGGGCACCAAAGGAGAACAAGGCTTGATGAGACGTAGGATTTACAAAGCGGGGAGCCCAGAGAGTCTGGCAGAGTAAGAAAGAAAGAGGAGTGAGCATGCTGGATGGAGTAAGGCCAAGAGGAAGATAACGTCTCACTTAGGAGAGATAGAAGGACAAGGCTGAGAGGGCTGAAAGCGGAGCTGAGACCAGAGTCTGGGTGTGGGGATTCAGGAAACAAGGGAAAGTGTGTCAAGATTGCCAGTAGTTCCTTTCACCCCTGCCCCTTTACCGCCCTCGACACGGAAGACAAAATATCTGCACTACATGGCTCCCAACAAAGGGTTTCATCTGCATGTGGAAGATGCCTCAAGCATTTCAGGCTGCAAATGCCAGTGCCACCAGCCCCTTCTCACACACACCATTTTTACTTATGATACACCGCACACATACCTCTGCCCGCTTTAGCATCTCCCATTTGTTGAGAATTTTCATCGCATAAATTCGTTCAGTGCTCTTCATTTTGACAACAGCAACCTAGAATGCAAATTTGAATTTAACAAAAATTCAGTTAATGGTCCAAAAGCCTTGCACATTTAAATGGCAATCCTAACTGCCTGGGAACTCTGAGAAACGAGATGTCAAAAAAAGACAAATCTTCTATATAAAGAAAGATTTGCCCTTTAAACAACAAAACTTGGCTTTACCTTGTAGCTTGGATGGGACCACCTGGATTAGCTAAAAAAAATAAAAACCCACTTCAGTACCAAGCAATGGGAACAGGAATTCACTGTCTTCTACTGAGGCAATGTTTGAAGATTTTCAGTAGAAACAAGTAGAGACCTTTTGAAGCTGGCATATAACGCTCAAGCTTTCTTCCTGCTTGTTTGGGGGCAACCTATACACTTTGTATCCCTTTCCCTCCTGCCCAGGCCCACATTCCTGCCAGCATCTGCAGTTACTCATCCGAATCTTTGCTTCACAGAGGTAGTGGCTGTGTGGAAGATCACATAATCCACAACTACAAGAGTCTAAGAGCTCCTTCAGGCCTGCCTGTAAGACCACCTTTTCCAGTCTCTGTCACATCCTGAATGAACTCCATCATGACTAGTAGCACCAAGATGTGCCCCTGCTTTGCACATTCTACAGTAGGCATCACGTGTCCACTGATCTACATTTCCTTCAAGACGCTGTGAGCTATTGCAAGAAGGCCAAGTATCTCTGAATATAACAGTTAAGGAACAATGGATCTTAGAGATGGCACCACCTACTTTCCCAATTTCCTAAACAGCGCATACCTCCCGATCCCCAAGAGAGATTAACCGTGAGAGTTAACCTATCCCAAGCATGTGCATGTGCTGGGGTCAATGCTGAGCAGTGTGGACCCTTGCTCAGCTCTCACAATCCTCAATGACGAGGATGCTGGAGAGCACTGTTCACAGCTGTGGCCTTTGAGGGTGGGAGGGTGATACAGGATTCCCTTCTGTATGCTGCGAATATGTTTTATTACCACTGTTATTGAATAAAGCTGTTTCGGCCAATGGTTTAGCAGAGCAAAGCCAGGAGGGAAATCTGAACAGAGATAGAGGGAGAGAATAGGCTGAGTCAAGGAGATGCCACGTAAGTGCCAGAGGAGTAACAAGTGGCACTGGTAAACCACAGCCTCAGGGCAATACACAGATTAATAGAAATGGGTTAATTCAAGATGTAAGAGCTAGCTAGAAAAAAATGCCTGAGTCATTGGCCGAAGAGTATTGTAATGTGTGATTATTTGGGGTCTGAGCAGTCAGGAAACGAACAAGCAGTCTCCACCTACAGAAGGGTCTAAATGACAGCCCAAGAAGTGGTGGAATCTCACTCTCAGGCACAAGCTTTTAAAGCCTACATTACTGTGACAGCCAAATCAACGTCTTCACTGGGTCACAATGGCTCTTCCCAGCCCAGACAGGCCGTCTGAGTCGAGGACGTGTGCCTACACTGTAGTGTTCCCTACAGTGTCAGAGCACTGCTGGTTCTTCACGCCGGCCTTTCCCCTGCTCTTTCTCTATGGCTTAGAAACCAACAGCCCAGCTTGCTGCAACCTGAGCAAACAGAAAACAGTGCATGCAGTGAGTTTCCGTGGGATCAGCAGCTCCAGGTGCACAGGCACAGGATGCACCAGAGAGGCTCTTCCCTCTGGAGAGCCAGAACAGGCTGGCTATAAGGCACTGTTAGTTAAAGTGCCCCTGGCTTCGCTATGGAAACTGCCTTGCTGCAGAGGGCGGCAGAGCTGGCTTAGAAAAGCGCTGACACTCTGCAGATGATGCACAAGAAATGGGGACTCTGAGAACAGACCCCCAGCACTGGAACTCTTGCCGGACCCCAATCCTCGCAAGATGCAAGTCCCACGCAAACTACTGCTGGGGAGCACACAAAATAGTCAATAAGATGTATAGGAGAGCATGTTAGTCACAGAAAAACCCCTATTAGGAATATGTAGAAGTAAAATGTTCAGGCAAAAGGTATGTGAGACAGATCCTTGACTGCCAGCTAAGGTTTACTACAAAACAACTTACAAAGTAAACAAGGTATAAAATTCTCACTTGGCCTACCAGAAATTTTCCAGCTCAAACTTCAATCCAACAGTTTCAAAGAAAAACAATCCCCATGCCAGATGGTGCTGGCACACACCTTTAATCCAAGCAATCAGGAGGAAGAGGCAAGTGGATCTCTATGAGTTCAAGCCCAGTCTGTCTATAAAGTGAATTCCAAGATGGCTGGGTCTACACAGGGAAACCCTGTCTCAGGGAAAGAAAAAAACCAAAACCCCAAAAAACAAAACAACAACAAAAATAAATAAATAAAAACAAAACACCAACCAAGCAAACAAATAAAAACAACCCTCCTAGGGCTAAGGATCTGGCTCGATCCTCAGGGCCCAGTGCAAGGCCCAGTGCCACGCTACGCTGCACACCTGTGACCCCAGCACTCCCGACAAAACAAGGCGCAAAGATAAGCGATGTCAACCTTTGGCCTACACCAGGACTCCCAGTTGGTATAATGACTACCACCCCCACACACATAGAAATACAGTTATCATTCTAAAACAATATCTGAAATTAGACAAAGGAATTTCATGAAATATTAAAAATTGACCTTGGAACACGAGAATAAAGTTAATATTTCATGCTGGTCCTATGCTAGAAGAAAAAAGGAGACAACAAAACAAAGCGGAACCCATTTTAAATTAACTGTATGTACTGTCTGTATGTGAGTGCAAAACACAGTCCCTTTGAGAAAACAGTCACTGGGCCTAGGCACTCGACTCATACTTCGAGGCTCTGAATTCTCTCTTTAGCACCACACACACACTCTCACACACACACTCTCACACACACACACACACCTGGATGGGGCAGCAGAAGCACGCACAGTGACCTTTAACAAAAGGACCCCCACCCAGGGCTGCGCTTGTAGTCTAGTTAGGATGAAATGGTTACTGAAGTTTCTTTCATCTGATTTATTTTTTATTTTATTTATTTATTGGGGGTGGAGTTGAGACAGGACTTCTCTGTAGATTTGGAGCCTCTCCTGGAACTAGCTCTTGTAGACCAGGCTGGCCTTGAACTCACAGAGATCTGCCAGCCTCTGCCTCCCAAGTGCTGGGATTAAAGGCGTGCACCACCAAGGCCCCTCAGGCTCATCTGATTTTTAGCGTGACAACAGCAAGGTAGAGTGGCTGGACTCAAGAGTCACGTCAAGCCCCACCTCAGCTCCAGCTCAGAACTTCAACTCTCATCTTTCCCGGACAACAGGCGCCACACCAGTGGGAGGGCTCTATGAGATCCAAGGGCTGCCCAGGGCTAAGTCAGCCGTTGGCTCCATAGTCCCTCAGACACACCTCCCAAGCCTGCTTCTGGGTAGGGGCTTGTGTTCCTGTCAGGGGTCCCCTATTCAAGGCTGCTCCTGAGACGAATGGGCCAGCAGGGAAGCATGCCCTGACCCCACTATCGTAGTTACCTATAGAGCCACCTGCACCCCAAACACCAGTATCGTCCAGTGTGCTGGACAGTTTTACATCAGCTTGACACAAGCCATCTGATGTGTCAGACTTTGTTGATTCCCCAAGGGAAAGATGCCTTATCCTCTCTGAGGAGTGGGTGGGGGATGGAGTGGGGGGAAGATGGGGGAACAGGAGGAGGAACTTGGATTGGTATGGAAAATGAGTAAAGACTGCTTTAAAATAGAAAAAAAAAAAACAAAAAAAAATGCCTCCACATGCTCTGGCTGTAGACAAACCTGTGGGGCAGTTTCTTAATTAGTGATTGATATGGGAAGACTCAGCCTATTGTGGTGGTCCTGGGTTCTGTAAGGGCAAGTTGAGCAAGTCAAGTGGAGCAAGCCAGTAAGCATCATCCCTCCATGGTCTCTGCATCAGCTCCTGTTTCCAGGTTCCTGCCCTGTTTGAGTTCCTGTCCGGACCAGTCAATGATGGACTATGATGCAGAAGTGTAAGACAAACAAACTTTTCCTCCCCAGTTTGCTTTGCTCATAGTGTTTCATCACAGCAACAGTGACCCTGACTAGGACACTGGGTGCCTGATCTCGCCTGAGGACAGGGTCTCGGGCAGTGCTGCAGAGCAGACTGGTGGCAGGTGAAAGCCTCAGTCAGAATGTACTTTATGAGGAGCTGAAGAGAGGAGGCGAGGGCTGTGATCACAAGCGACAGGGACAGGCCAAGAATTCCAAGTTGACGAGAACACACCGAAGACTCAGTAAGGACACCCCCCTGTGCCACTGAAGACACACATTACATGTTCATAAACACACAGCTCAAACCGATCAGATGGGAGGAACATTTCTCCCAACAGTGGCTGGCAACTATCCACACCTTCTGTGACTTGCTGAGTGCTTTCAGAGACAGGTACAAAGACTGGCACACTTCTGGCTGCAGGAACCTCAGCCAGAGGCCAAAGGTTTAGTTTATGGCAGGGGAAACCTAAGAGTGTATGACCACAGGCAAATGAGCAGATTGACTGAGTTACAAAGCAAGGAGAGCTGGGTGCCAAGTCCAGGCCACAGGGACCTGGGAGGACAGTCATGGCCACCAAAGGACAACCAAGAGCACACAAAGAAGATTTTTTTTTGTTTGTTTTTTGTGTTTTTGATTTAAAATGGTATTTATTGTTTTTTGAGATGGGTTGGACTCAAACTCATGGGAATCCTCCTGTCTTAGTCTTCCAACTGCTGCACTATAGGCATGAGCTACTACACCTTATGAGGAGTGGGGGTGTAAAAGCTGTAAGGCCAAGGGGCTGAAAAGAGGGCTTAGCAGTTAAGAACTGCTCTTGCAGAGGATCCAGGTTCAGTTCCCAGCACCCATACCAGGTAACCCAAATTCTAACTCCAGTTTGAGGAGATCTGACACTCTTTGGCCCCATGGGTCAATACAGAGAGGATGGAGGGGGACATAAATTTGTATAGCCTTACTCATACACACAAAACCAAAGTAATAAAATTTTGAAACAAAAAAAGATAGTCAGTCATAGTGGTATATGTCAAATACCAGCATGCAGACAGAGGCAGGTGGATCTATGTGAGTTCAAGGCCAGGCTGGTCTACATAGAGTTCCAAGACAGCAAGGGCTTCATAGTGACACCCTGCCCCAAACACCAAAAATAAAAAAAGAAGAAAAAGGTGCAAGGCCTTCAAGAGGCCCTGGGTTGAGCCCAGTATCATAAAGAGAAAGAGAGAAAGGGAAGAAGACACAGGAGGGCAGGGAACAGCCTGGAAGGAAACTTGGTTCTCTTAACCTGGAGGAGCCTGTCTGTGCTGGTAAGTGCCAACTCTGAAACTCATTAAAAACCTGAGTTTTGCAACAAAGTTCCCAACACACCCCCACCTCCAAGGGCACACATTATAACCATTTTGGCAAAGGAATTTTCCTTCTTTCATTTCACCTATTAGTCCTGTTCCCACCTGATGTTTCCTCCCGTGGGCAGGGATGCCATGGCTGCACTGTGGCCGGCCCTGATGTGTTCCTCACCACTACAGGCAAACAGTGAGCTGGGTGGAAACTGGCTGACTCTGCCAGACTTTCTCTGCTTCTCACTCTACAACAAACCCACACTCACACCATTAAGTAAGCTACTGACTTCATGGGGAACTCAGGTTTTACCTGCGGCTCCTTCAAATAAAAAGTTCCCTCCTTGTGAAAATGGAAGAATCACTGTCTGGGTGTGGGTGAGGTACTGTTAGAGACAGGAGGGGACTTTCAGGATGGAGATACTCTGTCGACTGGGTGCTGGCTCCAGAGCAACAGGCCTCTGTTTCTGTCAGACACAATCGTGTTCTTAGATCCGTGTGGTTTGTATGTAATAATCCAGGGCAGGACTAAGATCTACCTGGAGTTGTTGAAAAGTCACTGGGGACTGGATGGTTCTCTCCCCAATGGGGAAAGGGCCAAGAGAAATGGGCCTGGAAAGGAGATATGGGAACGCAGAGGGAGGAGAATAGGGTGCAAGAACAATATTCACAGAGTCCATCACAGTCCTGCAATAAAGTGGGGGTGTCACAAAGTGACTTCTGCAGAAGAGATATACCCCAAACCCCGAGCTGGTTTAGACTCTGTAGTCAGATGGGACCCCAGAGAGAAGCAGCTACTCTCTAAATTACTTTCTTTCATTGTTTGGTTTGGTTTTTTTTAAGGAGAAAATGCATCCCTTGTACTACATGACTTTCTTGGCAGTACTTTACACTAGTACCCAGTGGGTAATGCCCGTGGGTTCTTTTGTCAGGCAGAGCACAAAGCCACACGGTGGGATGCACAGCCTTTCTATTGTTTGACTCTTCCTCAGTGATTAACGTACTTCCAGAGCAAAACCTCACTACAGTGCGTGGACTGCATGGCCTAGAGGAGCAGAGAAAGTTGTCCTGGACAGACAGGGCAGGACAGCACTGGTGCTGATGCCACAGAGTAAACCTCACTTAATTCCTCTTGCAGTTTTTGAAAAATGTCAAGAGCCAGGAATCCCAGCAATTGGGAGGCAAAAACAGAAGGATCAAAAGTTCAGTTACATAGTGAGTTCAAGGCCAGTCTGGGCTATATGAGATCTTGATACCCCCATTCCCCAACCACACACAAAAAGCAAGGAAACAAAAAAGGAGAGAGGAAGAACTCCCCCCCCCCCAAATTCAATCAACAAATTGAAAACTTATTTATAGTATCTCCAAGAAGCTAGTTTTTGAAGCCCCAAAATATGGAGGGTAATTCACTAATAATAAATTTTGTTTTCTTCTGTTTATCAGAGTTTACCACCCAAAGCTCTGCAGATGATGCCGGCAGACAGGTGCCCAAGAAGTATGGAGCCAGCAGAGCCTGGGCCATGCAGAGGGTAAGAGAGTCTCTTACCTCACCAAAAGCCCCTCTTCCGATCACTTTGATGATCTCAAAATCTTCCCGATGAAGCTGCATGTCCTTCACAAGCTGTGTGAATGGTTTAGCTAAAGGCAGAAAGAAAAATAGCAATTTAGTCCAGCACACTAACACTCTATCAACCTAAATGATAGAGGTACCACGCCGTATTATAGGTTTCTCTCAATGTAGATGCTTGGCAACAGGTACGATTTAGTTTCTAATATAGCAAATATTATGGCTGTGAAAATCCCCTGGTCAAAACAAAACAAAACACTGTAAATTTCCTGGTCAGATCCAAGGTCAGCCCGCTGAGAGAGCAACTGGCATGTCCACAATCATTATAAGGGACAGCTGGGTGGGACGCTTCTGTGTCCCCACCTGTGATGCAGGAACTATGGGACAGTTAGGGGAACAGAAGACTCAATGGTGCCTTGAACAATCTCAGGGAGCTGCAACAGGTCCTTGGTAAGCCCAGCTCTCTGGTAACATCTGACAGTCAGACATTTCATGTTACTATGTATTCTTCACACCAACTCTTTGAGAGTAACTCTATTACTGCTATGTTTTGTACACGAGTAAATAGCTGGGTTTTTGGAAGGTGTGGTACTGTGATGAAGTGTTCCCCAAAGTATAACTTTATTTGGAAACTGAGTCTTCATAAACAAGTTAACCCGAGGTCACAACTGTAACAGGGTGGGCCCTAAAGCCAACAAGATTGGTGTTCTTATAGGAAGAAAATTTGGATAGAGGCAAGATGGAGAAAAGGCCACAAGAAAATACAGAGAGGGGGGCTGGAGAGATGGCTCAGTGGTTAAGAGCATTGCCTGCTCTTCCAAAGGTCCTGAGTTCAATTCCCAGCAACCACATGGTGGCTCACAACCATCTGGAATGAGGTCTGCTGCCCTCTTCTGGCCTGCAGACATACACACAGACAGAATATTGTATACATAATAAATAAATAAATAAATAAATAAATAAATAAGGGAGAGAGAGTTTAACACAGATTAAAAAAAAAAAGAAAGAAAAAAGAAAATACAGAGAGGATGGAGGGGGACGGCCCCAAACGAGTTAATATCATGGAACACTGGTAGTCTCTAGGAGCCGTACAGACCATACCTTGACTTTGGCCTTTTTAGCCTTCACAACTATGACAAGCAAAGCTCTAACACTTTCAGCACCACCCCCCATCTCCACCAGTATGACAATGTATCCAAGAAATTCACACAGAGTGTACTCATTTTCCCCCAGGAGAGAGCAAGTGCCAGGAATAAGGCTGTCCTTGACCCCTCTCCCTCCTGCCCACAGCCTGGCTACCTGCCAAAGACGCCGACTGCTATAATATACTGCCTGCTTCCCACATTTCTATTTGTCCTAACTACCAGAGATTTTCTTTCTTCTTCTTTGTTCATTTGAGATAGGATTTCTCTGTGTAGCTCTTTCTTAGAACTCGATTTGTAGACCAGGCTGTCCTCAAACTCATAGAGCTCAAACCTGCCTCAGCCTGCAAAAGGTTGGGATTAAAGGTGTTTGCCATCACCGCCTGGCTACTCTAAGGTTTCTAGAATGTTACGTAGTTGGAAAACTGAGCAAATGTATTACTTCTTACCACTCCATTTACATTAATATCTAAAACGAGCTCTGCCAAAATGTACGATGTGATATTTTAAAGACTTTACATTGAATTCATACTGTTAACCCTACTTCTCTATACTTCTCCTTACACGGATGCTCAGTACTATTAAGGTTCAGACACTATTGTTTGTTGTTCCCAGCAATACTGGAAGCCATACAAGACTCTTGGCTCTCTTCAGAGCTGGGCAGAGGACTCTGGCCCTTCACCACAAATGCCAGCCGCGCAGAGCTCAGAAAACAGCGCACAAGCCAAACAGGAAAACCCTCAAGTGAGAACCTAAGGGTCATCTACAGTCCATGCTTGTTTCCTTCAAATATCACCAAAATAGCCATTCTTAAAACCCCCGAAGGAAACAAGTCTTTTAGACAGCTACTGGACACCACCTCTCAGAATCTTTTAGGGGAACCTCCTGTGAGGAGAAACAGGGGCCCTGACTTCTGGATAAGCCAGAAGGGAAGCGTGGCTTCTGAGAGCACAAACGCACACAGCAGCGGGGCTTTCTGGAGCCACAGAAGCAGGTGCACAAGCTTGAGCGCCTTCACTCAAACAGTGCAAGTGCACAGAAGCACTTGAAAAGCAAAGAAAAGTCCACCTACCAAAGTGTCACGTGTGCACTGAACTTGCCCACATTGCCATTTCAGTTCTTGTTCCTGGACAGAGTCAATTGCTTACAAGCTTCTGTTCCAGTTTTATTTTACTCGTGACTTTCATGTTTATATCAGTCAACAATCACTTTAATGGATTTATGAATTGAGTCTGATATGCTAATTTTAATTTCAGTTCTTGTTCCTGGACATAGTCAATTGCTTACAAGCTTCTGTTCCAGTTTTATTTTACTCGTGACTTTCATGTTTATATCAGTCAACAATCACTTTAATGGATTTATGAATTGAGTCTGATATGCTAATTTTAATAAATATTATTTTCATAGAGTGAATAAATTTACAATGATGATTTGCACAATACTTTTTATTATTCCAATTAATTTTGAGGATGAAATACCTGGACTCCCCAAGGAACAGAGAAATGTTTTACAGCTCCTATGATGCCTTCCCAAGCAAGTCTAACCCAGACCACACTCTCAACACCACAGCGCTCAGATGCCACCTGGAGAGCTGCAGCCTCTTAGGAGCTGTGTTCTGGGTCACTTGTGTTCTGTGCACACCACACACTGCTCTTCCTGCTGGAGAAACTGTTTTACTCTTGTTCTACTGAGACATTATAGCTACAAATAAAATTCTTCTATGCTGTGGCCTTTTTTTTTTTTTACGAATTATACTATTTTTTAGTTTACAGAAATTAGTTTAAGGAAAATTATCTTTTATATTTATTTTTTTGGTTTTGAGACAGGGTAGAAAGCTATCTTAATAAATTTTAATTGGTTCTTTTTCTCCTATCATTTTATTAAGGTTTAGAAAAATCAATTAACCCTTTGAAGACCATATTTAATCCTATTTTCTGTTAAATGGCTTTTTTCAAAAACATTTAATCCTTTATGCCACCTAATGTTCATGTCTTAGCAGGTGTGAAATGCAAATTTTAATGCTTGTTTTAACCACCCACATGTGTTTTAAGTATTCTGAAAATGATTTGCCTATTTCTGCTCAATTCTCCTTATCAGGCAAGAAGAAAACACCTCCACTGTGGGGTCCCAGAGAAAACCTCCAGCCTTCCCCAAAGACGCGGGTCATAAGGACGTGCGGTGACGACCCAACATGGGCATCATCTTAGAATTCACTAGCCACTCTGGGAATAAATTTCTTCTTTCCAGGACTTAGCTGTTATATCCACTGGAGCCCACGCCCAGGCTGTTCTGCTTCTCTGATCTCTCGGCTTACTCCCCCTAATATCTGACTCCAGGTTTTTACTAAGAACAATTAGAGTTTGTGCTACAGGCTATCACCTCCATGTCCCTCTTTGTAGGTTCTCCTGCATCAGCTGCCCTAAGGTTACTTCATCATCTCTGTCAAGCTTTCCTTCTGCTCGTTGACGTTTTTTGTTGCTTGTGCATTTGAACAGCCGTGTCCAGGTGTCCCTCAGAAGGCTGACGTGGAGTTATCAGGTCAGTCTGATAAATGACAAGTATAGAAACAAACCTAAGGAAATCAATCTAAATGAAGTGAGACACAAAATGGAAGCATGGAAAAAAAATCCTTGAGGGTTTATCTAGAACTTTCTTTAGGTCAAAGAATAAAGGAGTCAGAGCTCACATTCTGTGGCTGATAGAGCAAGAAAGACTTTTGTGTTTAGGAACAGGCCGAGGATGGAGGGGGACCTGGCACAGATGTAGCAGTGACCATGTAAGGAAGGACACAGTCCTAGACAAAGTTGATGGAAGGATGGGAAGGAAGCAGGAGTATATTGGGGAATCCAACAGGGTCAGTATAAACTCCCCATTTCCATCATACAGAGAGAACAGTGAGATCCTGTCTCAAACACATATACTGAGGGAGAGACAGACAGACAGACAGACATATAGAAATGAGCATATATCAACCTGAAGATCAGGAAAGCAAAGCAGTCAGCCACTGGCTCTTACCTCTAACTTCAGACCAAAATGGCAATCCTGCCTCCATGAATCCTCAGGATGAGACTGAGCATGAGACCCGTCTACCCCCACCCCTGGTTTTATATTCCTCTCTAGTGCTGGGAGTAAAGGCGTGTACCACCACTGCCCAGCCTATTTAGCTAACTATTATAATCGCTGGGATTAAAGGTGTGTGTAAACACTGCCTGGCCTGTATGGTTGACTAGTGTAGCTGCTTTGCACTGATCTTCAGGCAAGCTTTATTTATTAAAACACAAATAATATACCACTATATTTCCCTTTTTTGTCTAAAATAAAAAAGGAAGGCTATAGCTAATATAAGAAAACTATATACAATAAGTATAATACTATATACAATATATACAGGCAATAAATACATTAACAATGTTTAGTCCATTTGCATCTGACAAATTCAGAGAAAATATTCCATTATCTATCCTGTCTTGGTGAGCCCAAAGGCTTGTGCTAACTTATTTCCTATAATAACTCGCTTTCCACATCTGGTAAACAAGGAAATCTATAACTATCTAGTCTTCAACTCCCTCAGAGACCCAAGAAAGAAATAATATTAACTGAGTAAGCAGGAAGTGTGAGCAAGTGACTTTCAAAAATTGTGAGAAATGACAGAAACAGCTAGCTACCTGGACAGCAATAAGTCAGGTCCCCTGTTTCTCCTCACAGGTTTAAAAAAAAAAAAAGACTTTTCCATCACATGGCAACAAGCCAAGTAAGTTATAAGGAAATGTCCTACTTGTTCTTTATTCAGCCAAACACCACTACCTGTAGGAAGTAACCCAAAGGGTCCTCAAAGAAACAAAATCTGGCAGATGGAATGGATGTGTTCCATTTTGCAGAGTTTGGAAAACTAAAATACGTACACCACATCGTTGATACCTAATTCAGGT